AGGTGCATGTGAACCCTGAGGTTAAGGAGGGTGACTGGAATTACTTAGATGACTTGAGTAACTGGAGTGACTGGGATGGCTGAGATAACTGGGATGACTGGGAAGAGTAGGATTACTGGGATGACTAGGATGACTGGTTTGACTGGGATAACTGGGATGAGAAGGATGACGAAGTGACTTGGATGATTAGGATGACTTAGCTAGGTGACTGGGATGACTGTGATAACAGGGATAACTAGAAAAACTGGGATGACTAGGATGATGATTAACTGAGATGATAAGGGTGTCTGGGATGACTAGGATGACTATGATGACTGGCCATGGATCACTGGGGTGACTAAGATGACTAGGATGAATAGAGTGAATGGGATACAAGGATCACTTGGATGAATAGAGTGACTGGGATAACTGAGATAACCAGGATGACTGGGATGACTAGAAGAACTATGATGAGAGGATGACTGGGATGACAAGGGTGTCTGATATGACTGGGATGAATAAGTTGACTAGGATGGCTGCAAGACTGAAACGATTCAGATGCCTGGAATAACTGGGTATGACTAGGACAGCTAGGATGACAAGGATAAAGGGAATAACTAGGATGACTGGGATCCCTGAGGTGACTAAGATGACTATGATGAATGGAATGAGTGGGACACTAAGATGACTTGGATGTCTAGGGTCTCCAGGATGACTGGAATAACATGGGTGACTGGGATGACTGGGATGATCTGGATGACTGGAATGACTTGCATGATTAAGATGAATAGGATGACTATTAATGAGATGACTTGGATGGCTGGGATGACTGTGATGACTAGGATGACTGGCATGATTAGGACAACTGGCTGACTTGGATGAAGAGGATGACTTGGTTTACTGTGATGGGTAAGGGGTGAAAGGGATGATTGAGAAGAAAAGGAAGATTTGAATTACTGGGTTGACAAAGATGAATGGGATAACAGGGATGCCTAGAATGACAGAGATGACTAGGATGACTAAAGGAACTGGTATGACTGGCTTGACTAGGGGACTATGATAACTGAGTTGAATAGGATAACTGAGATGACTGGCAACTACAATGACTTCAGAGATTGGGATGACTAGGGTAACAGACATGACAGTGGTAACTTCTTTGACTAAGACGACTAGGATGGGTGGGATAACTAGAATGACTAAAATGACAGGGGTACCCAGGATGACTGGGATGAATGGGTTGACTGCATTAACTAGGATGACAGGGATGACAGGTGTGACTAGACTGAGTAGGATGACTGGGATGACTAGGGTAACTAGGATGACAGGAGTGACTAGGGTGACTTGAATGACTAAAATGATTGGGACTATTGGGTTAAAAAGGATGAATAATTGGATGAGCAAAATGAGTGGGATGGATAGATCACATTTAATGAAGGAGACTGAAAAGATAATTCTTTTTAAGGGGGAAAGCGTGGGATTTGGAAAATCGAACTCTGGAAAAATCCTAAACAAAATGTGGTAGTCTTATATTACAAAAATGATAAAACTGATACCTGAAATGCCTGAATACAATAGGGACCACAACCCTTCCTCTTCTTGAGATGTCATCCCTTTAACTGAAGACGTGTTTTTGATATCCAAACCTTGTGATGTGCAAAGAATCTTCCAGAACATCACCAAATGTGTGGGGTTCTGTTAAATGGCCAGAGATGCAAGAAATAATAGAAAGGAAAGGAATAGAAAAGAAGAATTAGTCTCCCTACAGTACCTATATATATGGACATCCATTTTTCTGCAAAAACGTTTCCTACCAGAATAAATTAATGAAGTCTTGCTTCTTTTCAAAGTTCATTGATTATTTTAACAAAAACATTTGCCTACAATATTACTTTTCTATACTTCAGTAATTTCTAATTTTGTGATCTGACAACAGTGTTACGTTGACTTGTGAAGACTATCACAAGAAACATTAATTTAAGTATTTAAAATGAGGTAAGCGATTACTAATAAAAATGACTGTAGAACAACAGCTGGGTGATTATAACCAACCTAAATGTCCACTTCCTCATCAGCTTAACCATACACTCAGTGCACTTTAAACAATTAAATAGGACTTTTAAAAGAGTTTTTGCTAAAAAATCATCTCTTTCTTGCCTTGCAGACACCCTGTAGATGTCATTGAATAGTTTGATTGAAAGTAAAATTCTCCTTGTGACAGGAATGGTCTGGCCAGTCAGTTCTGACTTAATAGAAAGTGCTCTCAGTGATCTCCCAGGCTGGGTGATAGGTAGAGTGTAAAACCAAGTCTCTGTAATGAAGTATGGTAACTATTTGTAATAAATTGTTCCTGACAGCATACATACCAAACCAGTTGTAGTTCCTAGACTATGATGCTGTTGACCTCTAAAGTCAGACGTTCCAAAGAATGCAGTCCATTTCTATAAACTGCTGCCCAGTTTGCCTCATTTGTTGCTTTTTTTCTGCCTGAGAAAAATAAATAAAAATATTTTTATCAGCATATTAACTGATTAAGATGTGATTGTCACTTCTTACTACAAATGTTAACACTCCTTCGTATCCTTATGAAAATCCTATGTTCATGAATTAAGCATAATAACATTTCCTAGATACAGAAGATCAAACATTCAGATTAAACAAGTGAAAACACATGGACAATAAATATTTGATGAGCTTGAAACATGCTGCTTTTGAAGTAAGGCTGGGAATACGTGAAAAAAGGGACTGAGGGATACTTAATGAATTCATTTTGTTTCAAACAATTTCGCAAAAGAGATTTAACTCTGGTCTCAAATATGATAACTAACATTGATACTCTTCCGGAATAAAATACAGTGGCATAGCCATGACTTTTCTACAGGTATGCACAATTTTCTGAATCCCCGACTCTGTGTCCCTACAGTTCCAAATCTTTTTTTGGTGATGTTATGCTGCACATGTGTAAGCTGAAGCATTTTTGCCTTAGTTTAGGGATGAAATGACATACCAGGGAGATGTGAAAATAATATTTTGTCACCATTTTGGACCCATTGACTGAAGCACACAAATTTCCTATCTTGGTCAACACATTGTTTAAGACTAATACAAGAATCCTACATTTGTGTAATTGTGCCCTATTTTAACAACTACATCCCAGTCATCTCAGGTGTACCAGTCAACCTTAGTCATCTAATTCATCCCAGTCATCCTAGTAATCAAAGCCATTCTAGTTCTACCAGTCATCCCAGTAATTCTTGAGATCCCAGCCATCTCAGTTATCCTATTCATCCCAGTCTTTCCTGTAATAACAGTCATCACAACCATCGAAGTCATCCCAGTCATCCTAGTCAACCTAGACAATGAACTGAACTGCCAATGAAGAATCTTGGAGAGAGTCGGTAGGTTTTTTTATTTAAAGCCGCTTTGTGGTTTCCGCCGTGATTTTGTTTTTGCCAAGTTTTATGAGATCAAAAGTATAACTCGACCTTCTGGCTATTTTCACCATCAAGTGTAATGATTCAGTATCTTAGCTTTTCTTTCTTGTTTCCTTGTTTTCTTTTTTCTTTGTTACTGGACCAATTAGCTTCTTTTCAATTAAAGCAATCGTTGTGTTTTTGAACTACGTGTTTCGAGTGCGTATTTATTTCATTGCCTAATTGTGACCGAGTTTGATTATTGAATTACAACCGGGTTCAGAGTACTGCATGCAGTTGATAGTTTGAACGTTAAACATGAATTGCAATCGAAAAGGGTAAAGCAATTCTGTATCATGCAGACATTTCCTAACGATATTTCTTGGTTTGCCACTTGAAAATCATGTTTTACTTTTTGCATGAATTAAAGCAAAGGAGTAGTCACTAGACGGCATTAACAGCCGGTCAATTCAGATGTTACTGAGGGAGTAATAACAACTCGCAGTAATCGGATGAAATTCAGGCAATTTTCTGGCTTGATTTGCCAAAAATAACACACAACACAAAAATTTGGAAAATTTTGACTTTTTGGTGTTTTTTACAATTTCACTTTTATGGTCTAAGAAGCATTCTTTTCTATCCAGGATATTAGGGGAGAAATTCATTCCAAAATGGCAGGATTTTTTCTTTTCGCCAACAAAAAGATTATACAAAGGTAGGTTACTCACCAAAATTCTGACTTCCAAAGAGCTTTCCACTCCTTTGAAATTCTTGTCTAAAGAAGCCCAAACTTCAAGATCTGGCGGTCGCCAAATTGGAGAACTCTTAGTAGCCTCGTGACGAGTGTGTGACATCAATGCACTCAACCTAAGTTAGTTTAATCACTCAAACTTCTTGTTTCCTCGTTTCACAGCTGCACAAGAAGTCATGATCACAAATATATAAACACAATCCAAAACAAACAAAAAAGAAGTGTTGAGTGATTTAATCTTTCTGCCAACCTCAAGTTGAGCGCATTCATATCATTTACTCATCACCAGGCTGCTAGGATTTCTCCAAGATGGGAGCTGCCAGATCTTGAATTTTGGGCTACTTTAGACGAGAATTTCATAGGGTTGGAAAGCTCTTTGGAAGTCGAAATTTCGGTGAATAACCTGGCACTTTGAACTTCTCCTTTAACAAACCATCTTTTCTGGCTTGATTTGCCCAAAAAACACACTGATAAAAATTACGAATTTTTTGCCTAAACCATGGACTAACCCCTTTGAAACATTTCGATGTTTTGGACTGTTTTAAAACTTCTTTTTTTCTGGTCTAAAAAACATTCTTTTCTTTCCAGAATATCAAAACAAAATCTTTTCTGTCTTGATTTGCCCAAAAACACACAAGACAAAAATTTCGATTTTTTGACAAAAACCAACGACTAAACTCTTTGAAAAAGAAATGGTTAATTACAGGAATGGCTCCTAGCTGTTTTGAAGAAAACCACTGACTGAAGCAATGGCCTAAAATTGTCCACAAAAACCCTCTTCACCCTCATTCCCATCCGTCAACTTCTATTAACCTTCATTCACCCTCATTCTTCTTCATCTACCCCCAATAGCTTTCATTCACCTTCATCTATCTCCAACAGCCTTCATTCACCTTTCACCTTCATCTACCTCCAACAACCTTCATTCACCTTCATCTATCTCCAATAGCCTTCATTCACCTTCACCTACCTCAAACAGCCTTCATTCATCTTCATCTACCTCCAATAGCCTTCATTCACCTTCATCTACCTCCAATAGCTTTTATTCATCTTCATCTACCTCCAGCAGCCTTCATTCATCTTCATCTCCCTCCAATAACCCTTATTTTACCATCATCTCATCTCCTCCAATAGCCTTCATTCACCTTCATCTACCCCCAATAACCTTCATTTACCTTCATCTACCTCCAATAGCCTTCATTCACCTTCATCTACCCCCAATAACCTTCATTTACCTTCATCTACCTTCAATAGCCTTCATTCATCTTCATGTACCTCCAATAACCTTCATTCATTTTCATCTCCCTGCAATAGCCTTCATTCATTTTCATCTACCACCAATAGCCTTCATTCACATTCATCTACCTCCAATGGCCTCATTCATCTTCATCTACCTCCAATGGCCTCATTCATCTTCATCTACCTCCAGTAACCATTCATTCACCTTTGTCTACCTCCAACAGCCTTCGTTCACATTCACCTACCTCCAGTAGCCTTCATTCACATTCATCTACCTTCATTCACCTTCAATAACCTTCATCCACCTCCAACGGCCTTCATTAACCTTCCTCTACGTCCAATCACCATTATTCACCTTCAACTACCTCCAACAGCCTTCATTCATCTTCATCTAATACCTCGAGTAACCATTCAATCACCTTCATCTACCTCTAATAAGCTTCATTCACCTTCAGCTACCTCCAACAGCCTTCATTCACCTTCATCTACCTTCATCTACCTCCAATAGCCTTCATTCATCTTCATCTACCTCCAATACCCTTCAATCATCTTCATCTACCTCCAGTAACCTTCATTTACCTTCATCTCCCTCCAATAACCTTTATTTACCTTCATCTACCTGCAATAGCCTTCATTCATCTTTATCTTCCTCCAATAGCCTTCATTCACCTTCATCTACCTCCAATAGCCTTCATTCATCTTCATCTACCTCCAGTAACCATTCAATCACCTTCGTCTACCTCCAATAAGCTTCATTCACCATCAAATACCTCCAATAGCCTTCATTTATCTTCATCTACCTCCAGTAACCTTCATTTCCCTTCATCTACCTCCAATCACCTTTACTCACCTTCATCTACCTCCAATAGCCTTCATTCACCTTCATCTACCTCCAATAGGCTTCATTTACCTTCATCTACCTCCAGTAACCTTCATTTCCCTTCATCTACCTCCAATCACCTTCACTCACCTTCATCTACCTCCAATAGCCTTCATTCACCTTCATCTACCTCCAATAGCCTTCATTTACCTTCATCTACCTCCCATAGCTTTGATTCACATTCATCTACCTCCAATAGCCTTCATTTACCTTCATCTCCCTCCAATCACCTTCATCTACCTCCAGTAACCTTCATTCACCTTCATCTACTTCCAATACCCTTCAATCACCTTCATCTACCTCCAATAATCTTCACTCAGGCCGACTGCCAGTCATGGTTTTGAAAACACTAAATGACAGGCAGTCCGATATTTTCAAGAAAATGACAAATCAAAGAATCTTTGCTAATCCAAACTACGATATGTAGAATAAATTAAGTCACGCGGTCCCGATGTGCTACATAAACTATGTAGATCTCAAGTGTAGGGCTTGGTTTCCACTGGAACCATGTTTTGTGACACTTGGAATATTTTTCAGGTCGACTGCTGGTCAAGGTTTTCAAAGTTTTTAGCACAACGCTTTACTTTTCGTTATTTGACATATCTTGGGCTGAAATAGCCAGGATGGAAGGAGAAAATGGCATAAGCAAAACACGATCTACAAGTCTGACCAATGCAATCACTCATATATAATTAAGAAGTTACATTTCAATTGTGCTTACGCTTATTTTGTGTCAATGCTACTTTTCACTGAACACAAGTAACTTGAATGTGAATGTTCTTTGTTTGCTTGCTTAAGGTCACGGGCTTAGTTGGGGAAGGGTTCATTGGTTTCTCTGTCTAAAAAGGTTGTTAAATCTAGAAATCTCACTCACTTTTATAACAGGCAACTTTGATGAGATACAATTTTTGCGACTTATCCAAAACATGGTGGCAGTGAGTGAAGGTAAATGGAGACTAATGGAAGTAGATGAAGGTGGATGAATGTGAATGAAGGCTACGGGAGGTAGATGAAGGAGAATGAAGGTTAATAAAGGGTAATAGAGGTAGTTGAGGTGAATAAAGGTAAATAAGGTCATTTGGAGTTAGATGACAGTGTATGAAAGTAAATAGAGGCTCATGGAGGCAGACAATGGGGTATGAAGGTAAATGAATGTCAGTGGAGGTGGATGAAGGGGCGTGAATGTAAATAGAGACTAATAGAGGTAGAAGACACTGGACGAAGGTAAATAAAGGATAATGAAGGTAGATGGAGGTAAATGAAGGTTAATGAACGCTAATAGAGGTAGATAGTTTGGAGTTAGATGATAGTATATGAAGTGAAATAGAGGCTAATGGAGGCAGAGGACGGGGTATGAAGGTAAATGAAAGTGAATGGAGGTAGATGAAGGGGAATGAAGGTAAATAGAGGCCATTGGAGGTAGAAGATGCTGGATGAAGGTAAATGAAGGCCAGTGAAGGTAGATGAAGGTGAATGAAGGTTAATAAAGGCTAATGAAGGTAGATGAAAGTTAATGAAGGCTAATGGAGGTAGATGAAAGTTAATGAAGGCTAATGAAGGTAGATGAAAGTTAATGAAGGCTAATGAAGGTAGATGAAAGTTAATGAAGGCTAATGGAGGTAGATGATGGTGCATGAAGGTGTATGAAGGCTTATGAGGTAGATGATGGGAAATGAAGGTAAATGAAGGTGACTTAAGGTAATAAGGGCTAATGAGAGTAGATGAAACAGCACTATTCACTAGATGTGAATTGGTCAGTGGCTAACTTCAAAACAGCTCAGAGCCATTCCTATATTTAACACTTAGTCTTTCAAAAATTTCGATTTTGTAAACTTTTTTACAACCTCACTTTTTCTGGTTAAAAAAGCATTCTTTTCTATCCAGAATATCAACAAACTAACCCCTTTGAAAAATTTCGATTTTTTAAACTTTTGTACAACTTAACTTTCCTGGCCAACAAAGCATTCTGTAATAACAGTAATCCTAGTCATCCAGTTATTCTTGTCTTCCCAGTCATTCTTGTGTTCTCAGTTATCCTAGTCATCCGAGTCTGTCCAGTCATCCCAGTCTTTCCAGTCATCCTAGTCTTCCCAGTCAACCCAATGAAATCATAGTCACCCTAGTCATTCCAGTCACTTTAGTCACCCCAGTCAACTTAGTCATCCCAGACATCCTAGTCATCCCAGTCATCTTACAGCTGTAGTCATACCAGTCATATTGATTGGTTTTTCTTTATCATTATAGCTTTTTTATTATACTGTATTTAATTTTTATAATTTCTAACTTTTTAGCTACATACTGTAGATGCATACAATGCATAGATACAGGTAGCAATGCCCCTGAAACATTTTTACAACAAGCTGTATGAAGTTGTTCCAAGGTGCATGAAGAATAACTGTTTAATGTAAAACTCACCTTTTGGTTCTGTCTTCCCTTCGGAACCCTTCAGGGAAACAACTGTTCATCAACAACTAATCTGTTGGTCCTCTCTAGACTGGAGGCTTTACTGATGAATCCAAATGGTTGCAAACCATTGAAGCCACTGTGAACAGTTCAACAAATCTTTAGGGGTCGGCACAGTTTTGCGTGGTTCAATGGTGGATAGGTTCCTTCCATCAGCCCTGCATTGTGTCATTTCAGGGTCTGGATGAAAATTACTTGTGTAATTCGGTTCACCCTGGCTAAATAAAGTCTTGTTGCTGTTGTTGAAAATCAAGGAGTCACAGCCACATGTAAAATATAAAGGGATTAAAAAAGCAAGGGGTAGTGCTGAATAGAACAAGGGAACTGATTGGTTAGCTCAATTTGTTTGTATACTATTTGTTTTCTGTATGGGTCCTTGATTTCACAAGAGTGTGTCAAAGGGTTCTATTACTGACAAAATCAGCACTTGAAGCTCGTTTTTTAAATGAGGTTGAAACTGCAGTTTAGATTATTACCAGCTTTTCTACTATAATCATAACTATAACAAAATTCTCAAATCTGATTAGTTATCAACACTGTTCATCAAAATAAATTTATGTCAGCCCTCGTTTTTTTTTAATTCTTCACATAAGGGCCCAGTTACATTTCAAAATACCACTTGAATTTATGTACGTGACTGAATAACAACATTGTCAGGAAAACAGTGTAGCAAAACTCTAACTAACAGGTTTTTGCATTTTCAATGTTAATTTCTAGTTTGTCAAGCTCCCTGTCCCCCACTGAGAACTGTTCTTATAAGTGGCCAGCTCCAGAAATGGAAACCTTTTTCATTTCCAGAGGGTGTCCCCATATACCCTGTGAACAGAGGCTACAATTTCACTGTGTGAGCTGTCATGCAAAAAGTAGCCTCTGCCGACATCTGTTCAATTCTCTATCGTGCATGCGCAAAATTCGTCACGCGATTCACAACCAAAAGTAATCGTTAGGTCTTTCATCAAATAGCTAAGTTTCGTGGGAATGAAAAGATTACGACAACTCTGATCTGCTACACAAGACTCATGCAAGACTCACACAATGCTCTAAACAGGTCAAGAACAGGAAAAAACCCATTTTTAAATTTATTCATCCAAATTTCTGAACATATTTGAACGCTTGTTGGCAGAGGCTACTTTTCCCATGCCATCTCACACAGCGAAAATGTAGCCTCTGCTCACAGGGTAGTCCCCATAGAGCTTCACTGTATTGATAGTAATTGCCACAAACAAAAATGGGATCACAAGGGGAAAAAGAGAAGTGGCAAATAAGAGAAGATGGGTGAATGGAAAGGTGGAAACAAAATACAAATTAAAGCAGAGAAATTTCTGATTGATTTCTCTACTCTAATTTATATTTTGTTTTTTAATGTGTCAACAGACCTCACTAATATAACAGGTGATCCATATTAATAGTTGAAAAAATTTGGAAGGGGGTATTGAAGTTTAACTGAGAAGTGCTCCCCGATAGTATTCCTTTTAATCTAAGACCAGTGACAATCCTCTTTGTCCTACTTTTGTCGCGTTTGTACCTCCTTTTTATTTGGTGAGACATCGACAGGTATCGATCCCTTAAAGGGGTGTGCACAAAATCTGGGCTAGCCCATGGGCCAGCTCAGGTTTTGTATACACCCGGGAATTGAGCACGTGACTTTGCACCAACACAAAACATTTTGTTGGCTATGCACCCGTCCCTAACTGACCCTCTTAATCCAAGCAATTCTACCTGATTTAAAATTCTTAACTAAGCAAGTACTATGTAGTTTCGTTAGCTCTAAAATTTTCGTGTTACATCTTACCTGTACATTGATCAAAATTCTCCATTCGTTGCAAGATCAGTGCTTCGACGTCGTTGACTGGGGTATGTATACAGATCCTTTTTGTTCCACATAAACTACTTTCTTTTTATCACAGGTAAATAATCCAGAAGTTAATGAACCATAAACCCGAAAGAACAAGCCGCATTCGTGCAGAATCCTTGCGAATTCGATTTGAAGTTGAACAATGGCGCCTTTGGAGGCGCCATCTTGCTTTCCCCTAGTTCCAAACTCTACTCGGTCGTGTTTGGGGAGATACCGGGGGAGGGGACGGGAGGGCAGGGGAGGGCAGGGGACGGGAGGGCAGGGGAGGGGAGGGGAGGGGAGGGGGGAGGGGAGTGATCTGTTCAATTTTCGTTTTTCTTTTCGATTTAAAAAACAAAAGATGAAAATATAATCGATAAAAAAATCGATAAGCAACAAAATTAGCCTAAGATTTTTCAAATTTCTCCTACTTTTTCCCCAGTAGAGTAAATAATACACCGAAAATCGGTTTTTTTACGTTTCCTTTTTCACCTTGGACATACCAATTAGAAATAACAATGAAAGATACTGAGAGTACTGATTTAATTTACTTACTTGAAAGCAAGTCAATTTTTATATTTAGCTGGGAGCAGCTACCTTATGGTAATTATTTTCTATCTCTTTTTGAAGCGGATTTTTATGGGGATGGGGGATGGGTGGATGAAGAATTCTTAGCGCCTGGACAAGGATCCAAGCTGATCAATCAACATCTGTTCTACTGAGCCACGATATTAAAACGTTGACTTATGCTTCAACTTCGACTTCAGAGGGAGAGCGTGAAGATCTGAATGATATGATGGCGTCTTTGAGGTTTATTTCACTTCCACTGTGAAGCCACAGTAAAATTAAGGGCCTGTTTAAATGGAGGTGAGGTAACATTTGGCGGGTCACTCCACCTATCATGTAAACGAGAGATTATATGGACAGGCGGGTTACCCCACCTAAGCAGGTTACCTCACTTATCTGGGGTCCCCCACCTCCATGAAAACAGGCCCTAACGGGCCTTACTGGTCTGTATTAGACTACTTCAGTGCAAGCAGTACATGTGTCATTGTAGTCATGTATAATAAGAAGTCGTTTTCATATCAACTGCTTCGCAGTTAGTCTCGCTTTGAAACAGAGGCTTTGGGAAACTCGAAAATGGCCCACTGAAGAAGTCCCGTAGTAGTTGAAAGAGTTCAAAGCATGTTCATTTTTTAAGGTGGCTCAATGGGGTTTTTCGGGATCAATACCTCCCAGGTTTGAGCATAAACTATGTTGCCATTCTCCCAAAAACAGTTCCATAATGCAATTCGACATAACACCTACCCAGTTTCGCGCGCAACTTCAAACTGGCTAATAAAACGTTTTCAGTCACGTGACTAGCATCTATGCTAATTTATTGGTACAAAAAAAAAGATATTACATAAGAAAAGTGTTCCACACACTTGGGACATTTTTGGTACAACTAACATGAAGCCGTTTCATTGTTTGTAACACCATGGCCGAGGTGACGTCCTGTGAAAACGCTTGATTTCAAATTTGCATGTCTCTCATAAAACAGCTTGTTTGCTCCCAAATTTTGCACAATCTTTGTTTTTCATTTCCCCTTGGTATTACAGTCATCAAAAGAGAAATGTTGTCCCCAGAATTCTTTTAGGGGGAGGGGCGAACAAAATGCATTATGGGAGATGTGATAATGGCGAATAGGAGAAAAGTACAAACCCAGGGGGAAAACACGGTTCACTATTATCACGCAATTCTACTCAAATCTTAGTAAGCCGTACCATTCCGCATTTGCACCCGAAAAGCTTCATGTGAACATAGTTTGACACAGTTGAAAAAAAAGAGGAATACGCCTTACGGTTTGCTTCTTTTTCTAACCTTTACAGTGGAAAAATCTCTTATTTCAAGAGTAAACGTTCAGTCTTAAGATATCCTCACACAAAGCGCCGCGCCCTGTTAAAGGAAAACCTTCTTTATTCAATATCAATGAGTAGTAAGATTTGTACGGTATCCCGCTGAGTAACTCCGAATTATGGTTGATCGCGATAAGCAGAAGGGCGTGACTAAACGCAGGTTACGCTGCAGGGGCGGATTCAGGATTTTTCTAGGTCAGGGGGTGCACCACAAAAGAATGGCGTAACTGACTGGTGTCGTAAACAAATTATAACAGCGAATACGAAGAAAAATTCTTTTGACAAGGCAATAACATAATGTGAACTGCTGAGAATAGATATACATATCTGCCTATTTTGCAGAATACCAGTTGTATTATAAAGTCGCAGGTCATCTAACGGGAGGGAGGGGCTGCGCACCCCCTGCACCCTCCCCCTAGATCCACTTAGTTTAACGGGGAATTTGCTAACGCATTTGCTGATACTCAGTTACCCCAGTTTCCTTAGCATGAAGCCTGCCTAGGGGTATTGCTACTCCCCCCTAGACGGGATGCTGGTCTATCACAGGGTTACCCCCCCAGCAGTATGTTGCCGGTACCCATTTATACACCTGGGTGAAGAGAGACAAAAAAGAGTAAAGTTCCTTCTCTAAGGAAACAACGCGACGGGCGAGGCTTAAGGCTTTAAATAGAACGTTACCAAACACTTTTTGTTTTGTAGATCTATTTTGCGAAAAGAAACAAATGAAAGATTTGCAATTTGTGACAAAAATTATGGTTTACCCCCTTGGAAAAATACCTATTTTTCGACCATAAAATAATCGATTTTTTTAAGTCTAAAAGGTGTTGCAATTTTTCATGGGCTAACCCCTTTGGAAAATACCCATTTTTCGACCATTAAAAAATCGATATTTTGATAATTTGAAAAGCCTTGTTTTTAATATAGATTCACCAAACACTTTTTGCGGACCTATTTCGCTGAAAAAGAAACAAATGAATAATTTGCAATGTTTGACGAAAGTCATAGCTTATTGGGAAAATATCCATTTTTCGACTATTGAAAAATCGATAATTTTTAAGTCTTAAAAGTCTTGTTTTTGATAAATGTCTCCTCTATACACTTTTTATAGACCTGTTTTGCCGAATGAGAAAAAAAAAATAAAAACTTGCAATTTTTTTACCAGATTCTGGGTACTTGTTTATTGGTTCCACTCGTTAAGAGGATTGCGGATTCCAGGAGCTAAATTCCAGATTCCAAAGCCCTGGATTCCGGATTACACAAGCATAAAAATTTTGTCCCGGTTTCAGAATCTGGATTTCCTAACGTGGGGTGAGATAAAGCTGACAGTACCTCTGAAAATCATTCTAACAAACGGATGATCGGAACACTACTTCACTAAGGGACATAAACAGAACTACCCATGTTTCCCCCTGTGGCACCTTTCTGTTTTGACCTTATATATAACAAAAGTACCTGAAGACTTGTATCCTTAATAGATATGGTTTGTAAACATTATAAGGGGACACATGAAATTGTCATCCGCTCATTGTTATTGATCAGAGTGACTACTTTTTACCTTCATGACAATTTTTTTCTGTTTGAAACAATTATGGACAAGAACTATATTACTAATGCACAGAAAAAAATTTCTCTGGTAATATAATTTATTAAATCCCAAGAAGTTAAATACAACATTTGTTCCTTTTTAACCTAATACAAGTAGATTGTGTTGCCCGGGATTTGTTGATGTTGCAGGAACATTACAACTTTTAACCTTTAACAAACCAGGTTTGATTAAGTAAACTGCAACCTCAAATGGTAACCTGTACCTAGTATCAATTAAAGGGATTAAGGAATGCTGATTTTGATTATTACTACCATGGCTCATACATAGGTGTCCAAAAGACTTAGGAGCCAGGCCCCACCTCTTTGCACCACAATTTTACTTAACAATCATTTTCTGTGCCTATAGAGTCTTTTCACAAGACACCACGCCCACCACATTGATGTCCCACAACAATAAAATGGCTGGCATGTTTGTTTAAGTTGAAATCTTTTTTATGTAAATGCTTTCTTTTGTCAATTTGCATCACTGCTAGCCATATAAGTGAAAATGCTCTATAACGACACCATCATCTAATCATCTCATAAATGATCACAAAAGCTTAAGTTTTCAATAGGGACCTTAGATCTGACAACGACGACATCCATGAAAACATTGCTGAAAAGTAGACTACGGATCCTTTGACTTTTGCTCGTGATTATTCCAAGGGGCCCAGTAACTTAAAAGAAGGGAATTTAGTTTGGAGCTGAAGAGAAGGGACCATGCCCCGGTTCTGACAGAGATAGTAGAATTTATCGCCTCGCTATTCCTGTTCCCAAGTAAACTTAAAATTTGGTCTTTTTATGTCGTAGTTGTGCAGGGACTGCAAAGAAATGTACAAAAAAGCGTGATGCACGTGCAGGGTTATTGTTTTGCTCATTAAACCTATTGCTTATTTGACGTTCCTGTTGCTGCCGCCGTCATAGTTTCGTAAGGTCCCTAATAACCCCTCCCCTGCTCCCCCACATTAACCATGGCTAGTTTGCAGGATAGTGTGGCAGGTTTACTGTAATCATGATTAGTAAAGCTTTAAGTTGTAATACACAGAGAATGGCAAGGACATTAGGGCTTTAAAGTTGAATGTTTTACACCGATATTGGATTATTTTTGCTCTGAAAATTTAACACTCTAAAAAGTGCCACAGTCAGAATATCTGGTTATTTCGGTATTGTCAGAAAATACACTAATATATGTACACACAAAAACAAAATTACTGGTGATTGGTAAGTAAAGTACAAAATGCAATAGTAGATTTCTACAAATCTTTGCTTAAGTCAAGAGTTCTAGCCCTCATGCATGGAAGCAAGCAGTTACAGTACACTGCAAGTGTTGTCAGGACCTCTGGAAATATTTCAATGTGTATCTTAAACAGAATACTGAAATTACAGCTTTTAAAGCGGATTGATCTTCTGTGAAAATCCTCTGTTGTTAATATGTATATCAACCAGAACATCCTCGACATCCACATATCACACATTCAACAATTTTTCCCTGAAAAGAAACAAAGATTTCAACCCAAATCACTACAGTTCTCTTGCCTTTACCCTGGGTCTGTATACATTTTTGTATGCAAAATATTTCACTTTTTCTGAAACATCATGTTTATTTTCCATACTGATGATGTGTCACTACCCAGTTCTTGGTAGTGCTTCTGATTGGTTGAAGCAAATTTCCCACACAGCTTGACCAATCAGAAGCACTATACTGATCTGGGGGAACTAGTGATGCATCATCAGTATGGAATTTCTGCCCTTGCTTCTCAAACGTCATTTCACAGGGAAAGCAGTGATGACATTGCAAAATGTTGGCTATTTTCTAAGGCTAATTCCAAGGCTATTCCAGGGATTTCATTGGTGTACAAATTCATTCAGGTTTTCTTTGTCTGGAAATTATTATGTCCAAACTTCCAAACTTTGGAATGCAATTCCCAACGAATTTGGTCAACTCTCCAAACTTGAATTTTAAAAAACATTTTCATGACTTATTGCTCTCAATAATGGAAACAGCAGATGATTATGTTTAAGTGCCCATTCTGCTACAAAAAATTGCAAAATCTGCAGCCATGACTTAATGCACTAATAATTGATAAGTTCTTTAGTAAATTTGCCTTGTTATTCCATTCTGTAAGACTGTCTTGTAACTCTAGCTTGTTTGTTGTAATAATTATTATTCTTATTTATCTGCATCTACATTACTTTAAAATAATCCTCATAGCTTCTTTTTTCATTTAATATCTATGACTGCCGTAACCTTTCTGTTCTGCCCACCTCGTCTAACTCTTGATATTTGCGGCCGGAGTTGGCAAAACAATGAGTGTAAAAATAAAGTATAATTTTACATAAATGTCCAAGCCCACTATTTTTTTTATTTCTTTTGAGAATCAAATCATAGCTTTTTCGAATTGAATTGGACAAAGAGTAGAGGAAAAGAATGTTTATATATGTTGTCATTAATTTTTTGTCTCAGGTAATTTTTATTTTTCTTTGTTTCAACTTCATTAGCATATATTACCATGACCAAAAACAAAAGAAAAGCAAAAATTACCTGAGATAAAAAATTAACTGCAACATATACATTAACACCATGGCTGGTGGCCTTCTAAGTCATTTTATTACTAACTTCAAAGACATACCTCTTCCAGTTTGGCTTTGGGAACTCGGCAGATACAGTTGGTGCCAAAGTTTGTATCTCGACACTGAATACATCTTAAACAGCAGAGGTTTTCATATCCTTGCTTCTTCCACTTTGCTATGAGGTTTTTATCAGCATATCCTTCTTTGAGACAGTATTCATACAGCTCTATAAAGAAAAAAAATTGATCAGTTAACAGAGATCGTTTATTGGCAGCCAATTAATGACCTATTTGGCATTTTATGCATTTATCAGGTGGCTGAAAATAAATAAATAAACAGATGTACCGACCAATGAAGGATCAATACAGAATGATGGTAGGTTTTCAGTAAGAGCCATTCTGTGGTTTCGATGCTGATTCCATTAGGCCATTGTGATACAGTTTTTTGAGATAATTTGACAACCTTGTGTTGAGCCACCACACTGTCTTTACTTGCATCTTTGTTTGTGGACCAAATAGCTTTTGAATTAGGGTCAGTTGAAAGATGTGTTCGAGTGTGTATTTTGTTCTTGCTTTGAGCCCCGATCTGTCCAGAATACTGCATGCAGCAGGGCCGTAGCTAGTGTTTTTATAATGGAGGGGGGCATTATTGTGATTGCCGAAGGTGCGAACCTTGTGGGGGGGGTCTGGGGGTATTCTCCCCCAGAAAATTTTCAAATTTGGAGGCTCCAAAATGCTATTTTCAACACTTGTCTGTGATATGTCTCCCAAAAATCGACCTTGAATACGAAAATGGCAAACAATTGAAGTCACTATAATCAAAACAACTGAGTCTAAAGAAAACAACTCCATCCGCAGACTTGATGTGTGTGGCTGGTTTTCCTGGTTTGATTGTAAAGCAATGGGGTGAGGGCATTTCTGGATGGCCTTATGGGCCCATTAATTCAAATGTTTCTCTTGAAAGTTTGTGACTTGAGGAGATGGCCAAAACTCAGGCAACATGTACCCATGTATCTATATCAGTAATTTCTGAGTTACACAGCAAAAACTAACAAAAGCAAGTGGAAGAAAAAAAATTAATCAGAAAAGAAAAGATAATATATACCTCTGCTGATTGCTTTTCTTCTGTAAAAAAGGTCATAAACATAGCGAGACTTCTGATGATGGATCCTGGATTGGAAAGCAAAATAAAACAAACCAAATAAGCTTAAGCATTTTTCACACTACAGTCAAAGAGCCAATAATATAAACGGTATCTCAATAAAGCTTTTGTCAGTATTAAATTTATATACAAACATAGTAACTATAAATACTCACCTAAATATGGGCCATAAAGACTCTGTTTTTCGCTTTCCTTCGTGCGGTTCTGTCTCAGCTAATGAATGGAAAGAAAGGAGCATTAATCATCGCCAAAGAAATATAAATGTGACAGTCTTTAATCACATCGGTTATCGAACATTTTCAACGAGTACGAACAGTATGAATGACGAAGAGCAAGTATCAGCGGCTTACCTTCGCGCATTTTCTGATCTAGTTCGTCTAGCGTCGGCTCAATAAGTTCCCAACCATCAGGAGGAGGCTTTCTACTGCGACGTACTTTGGGCATTTCTAAAATAAAGCTTGAAAATAAAGATAAAACCGATAAAGCAGCAAGAACACGTCTGAGAGAATGATAGGCAGTGCCCAGGCTCTTGTTATTCCCGGTCGCGCATGATCAGAGAGCCTTTTCAGCTGGACAGGTAACTGGACAGCAGGCTCGGTCTTACTGTAACATCAGGGATAGGGGTGGCTGTTAGACATCCATTAGAGAGGGAAAAATTTGATGGATAGCTTTTTTTCTACCTTTAGGAACTTGAACCTGGTCGGGCATGGATACTTGATTGCACCAAGAGAGAATAAGATTATTCTCTCTTGATTGTACCTAAGAAAAGGTGCCGCGGAGCGACCGCTTTTTAATTCAGAGGCGCTCCCATGTCCGGTGGCCATATACCGATTAAGCAAGTGACTTAGATTCTCGTCATTTCGCTTATGGGAGTGATAGGGGTGTAAATTGAAGATGATTATTGGTCACACTAAAGCTCTAAATTCAATAAGGCCTGAGTCACGCGTACATTGATCTCATTTAGGGTCAAAACTATAATTTCCCACGAAACTTTCTTGGAAATCTCCTCTTTCCCCATTCACTAGCTCCAAATGATCGCTTTCTATTGAGAAAACAACTCAGGTCAGTGCACTAAACACACACAGGTGTCTTTGCCCTGTAATAACGAGCTTTTCCTTTTCGTTTAGTAGACGAGATTACCGGTAATTCAAGTTGTAATGGATACTTGTTAACATCAGGAGCCCATAACCAGTCGACATCTTTTCTACATTAAGCTTACGCTGGTCAAACCTGTACTAACGGTCACATGATCAATTCGATAAAACGTTAACAAGTGTATTTACAAGTCCAGCTAAAGTAATCGAAATCTAAAACAGTACTGAAAATACATTCGCGAAAGTTTTCATGAGCATGAATTGATCCCAGCCTGACTCCATGGTCTTCGGAGAAATTTACCCCTCGTTAGTAAGAAACTGCAAACACCAACTTTTAGGATAAGGACATCGTTTTATTTACTCGTTTTCTGGTATATTTTAAATCACTATTTGGTGTACATGTAAGCACAGGCTAGAGACTGTACCAGTGGTGGCATTAGACATAAAACAATGCGCTTTAGTTCATTGAAAAAAGTTTATGGTAACATGGACGTCATTGTATCCCGATATCGTAACGAACTTGACATTCCCCGTTAAAACAAATGAAATTCTTTGCTCAGTTATAGTACACTGTAAAGCGTATGAAAAATGAACTGTAAACGACACGTAAAGGAAAAATTGGTCACATAGTAGAAACTGACGTTTGTCGTCTTCCATAAACGTGATTTTAAGATTGTTTACCATTAGCGAAAAAGTTTCCGCAAAATCCGGTTGAAAAGTAAATGGAACATCTGAAAAGGTAGTCCTGTTTTCCGGACGAAATGTTCCAAGGGGTAATTCGTGTACCATTTATTAAAACCCATCTTTGACACCAGTTTCAGGCTTTGTGGCGGCCTTTTTTAGGTACAGGGAAGTGATTTGTGCAAATGGTACACACGATTCCGCATGAAATTTACCAGTCGTGAACTTTTCACACCATTTGCTCAAACCATAAACCGACCCGTTCGCCAATGTAAATGGTAAACAACCTAAATCTCTCTAATGTTGTCGCATGTTTCGGGGGTATTTGGCTCACAAGAAAAAATAAAAGTCGTGCCTTTGACTAAATATAACCATAGTTATTGCACGAAAATTTTCCATCATTTAAATTGAAGCTACTGTATCACGAAAAAGATGGGAGTTTCTTAATATTTTCTTACATTAAAAACTGTATAAGTTAACTGTTTTACATCTTTTGCATCGACACAGAATAAAATCTTTTCAACTTCCATTTTTGTTTTATCTTGAATGTAGCTGATTTTTATGAGCACTACTTTGCATTAAGATCAGAAAGATTAGAAAATGATAGATGAATATAACTTTGCAATGCATAGAAACCAAAAATTAGAGAATAAGATCGACTGATATTTCATTCCTTCAAATATACCATGTTAAGGGAGCCTATGCATCCACAATAAAGGTGGCAACGAGAACGTCACTAATAAAGCGACATCGCGTTCTTTAAACATCAGTATGATTACTCTAACTCGCTCAGTCTCTCCAAGCAAATATCGCTGAATTTTTTTGAAGCTGAATTGTTATGGCTCGCGTCCAAATTCAGGGGAAAAAAGCTTGTCCGCCTCTTCACGTTCTACCTAAAACGATGCACTATGAAATTTCCCGTCGCTGTAGTTCAGAAAACGGCAAAGAAAGGTAACAAAGAACGTAGAAATGCACGTACAAACTTGTTGCTGTTTGTGATTTTTTTTTCACGTTTTCGTTGCCGCCGTGATCACTATTCATAGTAATATATGGCAAATTCGCAAGTAAAATGATTTGATTTCTAAATTAGTAAAGAGTTATGTGTATATAAAAAAAGAAAAGAATAGCAAAATTCTTTAAAAGAAGTTATCGGACGGACTTTTTAGACTTACATGGAAGTGTTTTGCTTTGGACTAATATTGGCCATAAATTTAGTGTTTGTTATGAGGTAAATCAAATCTGATCAGCCATCTCCTGTCTTCTAATAAATCCATTGCTGACTGACAACGTAAAGGCAAGCCTGCACAAGGTACTGTAGCAAGTTACACGTTATAATGTGTTTAAGCAACAGAAATAAGGGCTTTGTGTATCTCTTGACGTTAAGTACTGTAATGTCCCCAGTCTTGATTATCCTTCAACTGTAGCAAAGATAAGATCGCCTTGTTCTGTTTGCATTCAGTTGTCTATATGTATCACTTTTGTCATAAAATGGGACTGAAAATAAAATTCCTTGGCATAAAATATCACTTCTATATTGTCCCCTCTGCACTGGTCTAGGATGTTAGACAGAGACTTGCCAACCTGAATGTTGAAATCCCATTGCAAAGTAAAATCCGTCCCCATCACTGTCCACCTGCCAATCAAACGTCACTCGTTTATCATCCACAGTAATTGACACCCGTAGCTTGTCTTTGGAAACTCTACCGGCTTCAAACATGACAAGGGAGTCTCGCTTGAACTGAGGCAATCTAGTTGTCATTGACGATCCATTGACATATACGACCCCTTTGGAATTGATACTAACAGAGCCAGGGCACTGTAAAACTTGCTTTGCATTGCTAAAATCAAAAGATGAAGTCGTAAGACCAATGCCATCTCCATTACTTGGGTCACCCGTTTCGTCGATCTTGAAAGCTAGCGTGGTATCGAGTCTGTAACTCATTGTCTTTGACCGCAGCACTTTGGAGCAGTCTGGAAAAACTTTTGTTGCAGTCTTACGCCTGTTGCTCAGCTGGTACACAGCAAGTTTATTTTGATTGAAGCAGTCATCAGCTGACCATTCTGGAACAAAGAAAGGCAGTTACATACAAAACAAGAAGAACAGTAGACAAGCAAAATTGAGTCAACAGTCAGGCCCCTGGTTTGTATGGGGAAAAGTTGTCTTAGGTAGAAGTGTCACCTGCCTACCTAAGCTATCCTGGGCAAGCCAACTTTTCATACATTACTGTCCTTACAAAACGTGTCAAACCGTTTGCAAGAGAAACAAAAAGTTGGCTTGTGATGGTAGGCTTACCCTCCTACCAGGGCCAACTTTTCTCACCATAAACACTTTGGCTCACCCAGTCAAGGCAAGACAATTAGACGCATGCACAAGCACTGTTGCCAGCTCTTGGCTCCGAGCGAAGGGGTCACCTTTTTTTAATGAATACTCGCTAAAGTTGATTTGGCTGGGAAGAACTTTTCTCCATATAAACAGGAACTCAAACACAGTCAACAGTAGTCAAACAAGTCTGCAAAATGCAGTTTTTGAATGATTGTGTATTCCATCCTCTTTAGACCAAACAGACTTTTCCCAGCACCATTTTTTTCTCTCTGACGCATTATGTTTTATAAACGAACATCACCTTTCCTTCCCTTGAAGAGACTCTTGTTGGGGCATTTACCATTCATTAGAACTCAGCCTGGCCTGCAGATCAGTACAGTTATAAGCTAAAGAATCCAGGACTATCCTGCAGTCAAATTGGTCTATTCCTTAACAGACTGTCAGGTACAGATAGGCTTTAGCGAAAATTCCGAGAAAAGCCAAATATTTCATTTTCGAAATGGCCAATGCACCTGGTCAGTTCTGATTTTTGGTAAGGGCCTTTTAGAGTTAAACAAAAATAGTATATCATCATTAACCTTACTGTCCTTAACTCGACAACAACACAGTATAAGATTAGTGATTATTTTAGAAAAATGTACATTTATACTTAAGAATAATTAAGAGGCAGATTTAAATAAAACTGAAAGAATAACAGTAATGTGCACAACATTCTCACAGAAAAACTGAGCAGTTAGAACTGTTCTGTGGCATTTTGCAATAACAACGCATTTTGGGTAGACCAATGATTATTATGAAATGCCGCAACCATTACTACCAAATGCGTAGAAGTAATTATGACATATTGCTGCAACTCTTATTACAAAATGCCACAGAAAATAGTAAATCAAATTAATGACAACAGTGCCATACGGTCACAAATCATTGCAATCATTACCATGCTGATCAAGTGTTGTTATTCCATTTCTTGGAATGCTCCATGATCCCCACTTTGCTTCACTGCCAAATCTTCCACAGACACGAAAAGTATATGACACATGTGGCTCCAGGTCTGTCACTAGATGCGATGACTCCTCTCCGCAGTACACAGTACTGAATACTGAATCACTGTTGCCTTTGTTGTTTGTGCGGCAATACTGAAGCATGTATTCCTGGACTCCACTATAATCTGTTATTGACTCACTATCTGAACATGTCTACAGTGAATATAATAATATTATATTCACATTATATTGATTCATTCATTCATTCATTTATTATTATTATTATTGTTATCATTACTATGATAATCATTATTATATTAACCTAGTTATTAAGAAAACGTTGCACTCTTGGAACTTCATTATGATTATAAAATAGTAATGAACGATTTAATTGGTAGCACATGCAGAGGGAAGCTCTTCATTTACAACAAACCACATTTAATAATCTTTCCAAGGTGGAACCACACATACCTCATCATACCACTGAACAAGAATAGCTCCAGGTTGTTCCACCAGCTCTGCTATTTGAAGTGAACCAGTCATGGACACTTCTCCAATTAAACTGACAGCATCTCTTAGTGACTGGGTGTGACTGTCACTGAACGTGACAGACAGTGTTTGAGATATGCATGGTGCATCAGGATACCTAAGATGGGTTTGAAAGGATGTTATTACTATTAAAGGCCTGGGGAACCCATGTGAAATTTAAGGCCAATTTTTTGTCTTTGGCATTTTATTTCCAAGTGTATCATGAATTAGATAGTCCACACTTGCGAGGAGGGGAGTACTCAAAGAAGGCTTATATGGGATGCTCTGCCCTGAGGTCCAACCACTCACCCTTTTATATACCATTTGTGACAGAAAAGAAATGGTACCCCTTTCATTTACCTTGTTTAGAGCTTTGCATCCTATTTAACATTGCAAATGCACTGTCTTAAATAAATTAGAAAACCAAAACGTTTTCTTGACTTTCCCACAACCAAAAAAGCATCTGTTGGCCTTTTGGGCCTTTTTACAGACCAAAATGACAGGTTTCCTTGCCCTTTGATATACTTCATTACAGGGAGTACCCCCCCTGCCCCTCCCGGGATCATACTCATTTGAGCTCTTCATTTGACCTTTTTAAGTTTTCCAAGACCTTAGGTTTAGCTGTCACTTTCAAAATTTTTTAAAACTTTCCTTGGTTAAGACCTGTGCAAACCACACTGCCCCCCACCCCCCACCAGGTCCCCACTCTGGGCCTTGCTGCCTAATCTTTTAGTCTGTCCAGTGCCATTAAACATTTTGAGAAACCTGGTGGTATTTGTACTGTACATCTCTTACGAGATGATTATGATTATGATCATGTGCAATGAACAGTGCTGTAAAAATTGATACAGTAGCCACTTAACAGGAAAGTGCTCTTTAAAGCCAGACCAGGAATTTAAGAGGACTCAATTACAGCCATTGTATGAAGGTATGAGGGTTTTCCTTTTTTGGGGGCGGGGGAGGGGGACATGCAGTAAATGTGTATCCAAATGCAGTTGTTTTTTAGATGGTAGTCATACGTATTCCAGACAACTTGGTCAATAATACTATTGTTTTTTAATTAATTCCCTTTCTCAAATATTTTGACTAAATTACAAGAGTAGTGCTTGAGGGGAAAAATATTAAGCTTCGTTAACAAAATGTACTATAAATACCTCATGGGAGAGATTTGCAGCTCATTTTGCAAGTTCTTTCTTTCACTACGAAGAACTGTGTCATCCTTATCCAAGGAGGAATTTCCTGAGACAAGAGAAAAAGAAAATGTGCATAACATCTGAATGCAACTTTTTCCTGGCTTTTAACTTTTCTACCTGTCTGCATAATCAAAAGTAGCGATAAGTAGAAAGATAAAAGCAAAGATGTTACTAGCTCCGTTTTTAAACTGGAACAGAATTAACCAAGATGCTTATTTTTGATCATACAGGTTTACACTCCAAAAAAACTTCTCCTGCTGCAGCCATCACAGGCTGATTTAAGGGTGGGGTCGAGGGGACCACGCCTCTCCCTTTTCCTGTGATATTTTCTATTATTTTTAAAGACTTCGTGGTAAAACAAGAAGTGTCTAGTACATAGCTGGCAAGTGCTCTAGCAAAGGCACTTACCTTAGCAAAATTTGTGGCAAAGAGAACAGACATCAAAGAATTTATAGATATGTCTGTGAAAATGATCTTATTTCAATATTGATATTCATTTTCAGATTTTGCTGCTGGCAGTTACTAATTGTCCCTGTGGCCAGACTATAAAGTGAAAAGTAAAAAGGGAATGGCAGTTGTTTTTTTGTCGATAAAAAGTAATGCCTGTATTGCAAATTCATTGAATAAAAACCATTAAATAATGATAGTCAGCAGCCTCTTACCTTTTTCTAAAAGTTTAACAGTTTTATCTAACTCTCTGTTGATTTTGTCTTCCAAATTGTTTAAAGGATCAAGGTCCTTCCTCTCTATTTCAGTAATAGTAGTTAGAATAGCCTTCTCCCGACAGTCTAGCATCTGTGCGACCTCATTCCTCAAGTGTTTAAATTTCTCCTCAACTTCGGTGTGTGCAATACCAATACTACTTTTGACACCATCCCGTGTGGATTTGATGTCTGTTAATCTTGATCTGAGAACAAAACAGCGCACATCACTTACACCGCCTGACCCATTTTTACCAAATACAGTACAAATTTTGTTAGCACAGTCATTTCCCTCTTAATGGATACCTTGCTAATTAAAAACAGACACCTAGAGTTGGTCCCTGCCTCTTCTTTACTCCTTTTAGCTGACTCTCTATAAGACGGTCATCTCTCTAAATGGACATGTGGTGCAGGTCTTAAAGGCATCCATCTTACAGAGAGTTGACTGTAAAAGTATAATCTACATGAGGAAATATAAGATGGTGATAATGCCCTTATTTCAGGTTTAATATATCCCCAAAATGTATGCCAAATGCAAAATGCAAGTTTTGATTTCTATGATTTGTCATCTAACAGTCACCTCATACGAAAATACTAAGGAAATACCTGAGATAGGATGTGTACTCATCTAGCTTTTTTAGTGATTCTTTGATAGCCAGTCTAGTATTTGTTATATCTTCTTCCATTTTATTTCATATTGTGAAGAACACTAACAAACTGGAGATAAAAATAAACGTAATAATAAGATGAGACTAACAGCATGTGACATAAAATAATACCATACACTGAATCAAATGTTAGATTCTTAAAACCTGGGAGGGAAGAGGGGGACTGTTCTAAGGTCAGAAATTGCAGATCTGGGTCACACTTATGATGTTCCAACAGAAAGCTAATATTTCTACAAATACGGTATCACCTGGGTTGTGCATTAAAAAATACCTGTATAAAAAGGATTAACAAATGCTGTCATACTGAGTTAAAGTATGGCCTCCCTGAGAGGTCTAACAACGCCAAGAGAAGCGCCAAGTAGTCTCCTTTGGCGACATCATAAAGTATGTATTATACACTGATAAATATGAGACTACACTACACAAGACAGAGTCCCTGTATGACACTGATGTGCATCTTCAGGATATTCCAGGACATAGCTTTTTCGGATCTTTCAAGTCATCATTTATGATAAAGAGGAATTCCACAGTGCAGCAAGTTTCCACTTGAAGGAGAAGTCTGCTACACTATGCAAGCCCACTATCATCATCAGAAATCCCTTAGGTCATAACTGGATAATAATGGCTTCCTCTGTTCTCCAGAACTATTCAAGAAATTGGATCATAATCCAAAATCCAAGAGCAGCTACTTAACTAAATTGTTTTAGTAAACTACCTGTAGAGATTGCTAAATGTGCATTCTATGAAATACTTATTTCTCATAAATTAATTTTGGTGACAAAAGTTCATGTAAGGAATTGGGCTTGTGAGTTAACCCTTTCATAACGAACACTACCCACTCTAAAGAGGAGTTGGTTGGTGCTGTTCTTGTATCATTTCCTTTGACTCAATGACCATGCACAGACACCTCCTTGAGACATATAAAAGGGACTTTAAGCAAATTGCTACTGTGACCTCTACTATGGTGGCCAGAAGTAAAAAAGCCCAAAAATGATGCAGTGCACAAGCTTGGAAATGACCTTTCGCTGTAGCACTAAATCCAACAATGTGAAGACCTGTCTTGTGGCGTGGTTGCTACTACGTGAGTATAAAATTTGACTTTTCTCCTATTATTTACAGTCACTGGTTTTACCTATCAAAGATTATTTTTCACTTTATCAACAGAGTATTTGACGCTTCTGGTTAACCACTAATTATGTCTTCACTGTGTTTCACTAAGTGTGAAAGCAAATGAGCGAGAAACCCTGTAGTCAATGTTTGGACACCGGTTGCTTAAAGTTAAAATTTTGTGGGCTACGGTTACGTACTCTCCCCTGGAATCCCCATCCACGACCGCCGTAGTAGAGGTTGCCATAGTGATTTGCTTAAAGTCCCTAATAAGTGACAGCACCAGCAGTATGCATATTTGAGAGAGCTGCCTGTAAGTATATAAATCAAGTACAATGTGTACAAATTATTACTTATTTTTTCTACTTTACATGAATCCCCAAAAAGGATAACAAACCCTCTTGATATACAAAGACAGTGACTTTCAACGTGGAGATAGCTAACTTTGTGACAACAAGCACTATTAACCCATTCGCCTGCGAGCCACCCGTAACCGCCCATGCAGATCCACATCCCTTCTACCGCTTCTGACATCATCAGTTTTAATGGTCAAGGACAACTTTGCCCACTAACTTGTGCAGAGTGAAGAGATCTTTCAAACCATACCAGAATGAGCACAATTCAGCCAAGGACACCAGAGAAAACAGCAAAAAACCAAGTAACATTGACCTGAAAATCTTGTTCCACTACCCACCTACCTTTTCTTTCATCTATTTTTAAGATCCTAAAAATGAAGCCTACTAAATGCCCCGCAAAAGAAATAAAAAATTAGGCAAGACAAGTGAAAAAAGAGGGGACAAGAGAAAGTGAAAAAGGAAAAGTCAAGACTGCTGTGTCACATTAAAACCAAAAAATTATATTGAAATTTTTCTTTTTGCACATGCCTGAACTTTGCAAGCTAATGTTTTGCATCTGGATCAGAAAGCTGTGACGTTTATGACCTGTAAATGGCTTTATGGTAAGTTTTAGCTCTTTATAGCACCACAGTGACCGGAAAACCACTTGACTAGCTTCAAAACGGGTTTTTCGGCAAAATTTCTGGGGCAATTGTGTTAACGTAAGTGTAAAGTAGTTGACTGCAAAGTGCAAGACGAGCACAGAGCCTGAGATGAGGGTGAGAAAAACAAATACTTGAAACAGTCTACTGTGCAGTCTTACTTCTTCAGGATGGCCTGCTGGTCAAACTCACTATGAGAAACACACATTTTTTGAGTAGGTAAACTTTCACTTAAAAGCAACAACATCTTTCATGCTCTTTCTTGTGATAAAGGAGATAAACTACAATAAGGGTTAGTTTGAAGACACGTTACTGATTGAAAGCAGTTTTATTGGTTAACTTGGTTAATGTTGATGGTGAACATAAGTAGGAGGTAGAGGAACATCAGTCGACAGTCAATAGACTGCTTTCAGGAAAAAAATGTTTAACCCTCTTCTCTGGGTCTGCACTTGCCTCTCTCACTTTGCATTTGACTTTATCTCCTCCACTTTCAGCAAAATAATGCCTGCTATGCAGGTTATAAATCATATCATTGCTGTGACCTGGCTTCCAGCTTTTTCCCATAATGATAAACAGGTATGTGCCTCAATAGTTATAGTAAATAAGGTCTAACAATAACATTAGGAAAACCATTTGGTGCAATAATAATAAAAAATAAATTTTTTACTATACATCTTCTATAAGGCCCGGCCCCTCTAAAATAAGCCCCCTCCCTCTAATAAGCCCCGCCTTTCAGGGGAAGAAAGTTAATAAGCCCGCCCTTACTATTAAGCCCCCCTCCCCTACCTTAATTATTCTTGACGAATGACAGACTGTATCAATCAGTACAGACAGTAAAACTCCACGTAGACTGATCTGGGATGGTTTATTTACCAACCGGAAGTGTTTACATGCAAAAAGTACAAATGGCTGCATGTTTTTGCTTTTTTCATGGATTTTCGAGTTAGTAATTACACATATTCCAAACCCCCTTGCTTTCACAAAATTCTCTACACAGACAATAAAAGCTTGCCATCTAGGATCTGTAAAAGGCATGGAAGAACGGAAGAAACTATTCAATCAATGTGATGATTTAAATACATTAAATATATACAGCTTTGATAAACACAATATATTTAAATTGCATTCCCTTCCCACTGCAAGCCATTGTTTATAGCCGGATTACTCCTACTGAACAAGACTCTAATCCAAATTAAATTTATTCGCTAAAGCATGATTATTTGCATGTGCGATATTACTTCTATATCACCAGAGTTTACCAAATATTAACACGGACCAGGTCAAGAAATAGAGGAGATCAGTTCCTTATAATAACGAATAGATACAATGTAATAAAGCTAAAATTCCTTCCATAATAAATTATTTATGCTCTCGAATTTAACTCTTATGTTTAGGTAATCTTAGGATGTCAGCTTTGCAGGAGTAGAAGGATTTGACGTAAATTGGAAATATCTGCTTAGGTTCCTTAGCTAAATAGGGGATTCCTGCCCTTGGATAATCATGCATGACAGATTTCTGCTTGTTCACTCCAGCAAAAGAAAAATAACTCTCGGGAAGAGAGACTGCATCAAATTAACCTGCTAACTAATAAGCTTAAGCCAAGCACGAATTAAGAAACCATAACTTTCACTGTGGTTAACACCCTAACTATTCTAGTTTCGCTCAAGTCAATAAATCGTGTTTGACAGTACTTATAGTACACAAGCAAAGAAATATTTCCATACCATTAAATGTGAGAAGGAGAAATATCTCCAGACGCCAGGGAAACAGAAATCGGAGGACTCCCTGCCAGATACAGCTGCGATCAAAGCAATTTCACAAAACATTGAGCCCTCAACGACGCCTTCAACGAAAAGCGGATTTGACAGAATACATGCGCGTGGTAGTATTGCGCATTACTGGTCAGCAGTTTTCATTCATAAATCAAGATGGCGGATCGGGTTGTAAGAATCGGTGTAGGGTGAATTATGGAGAGGAAGTTAAGGATAAACATGGTTTGCTCGTCCAGAGATAAGCGATTTTTGGTAAGGAAAACTTCAGTTACAACTGAGAGTAACTGTTACAGCTTGAAACCCTAGGGTGTCATCATTGAGGCATATATACCAGGTCAGCATTAGATCCCATCGCCCGTAGCCCCCTTCTCCCCTCATGAAATGTACACAAGGTAGAACTGTTTTCTGCTTTTATATCACACTTAGATGATATTTCAAGTCTCTTCAATCTGAAAGAAAAAAAAATTGATGCGAAAGACAGTAGGATTCGAACCCACGACCCGGATGGTCCAGTATGCTACGCCATTACTTGTGGTTAAACCACAAGACCACTGAGCATTTGCTGGAAGAGGCGAAATAATTTAAGTACATATAGCATCAAGCCCAACCCCCCTCCAAAAAAACCAAACCAGTTTCGAAACAGTGTTTAACCCTAATAAGTTAAGGCACTGCTTAACCCTAATCAGTAAAAGGGAAAACTACTTTGTGTAAATTTCATGATGTGTCCAAAGGGGCTACCGTCTATGGGATCTAATGATAACCTATATATCAGTCATAAGTGGGACATTGGTTTGTTTGCCAAAAAACATTGGTAAACATTTCCTCATGTACATTAACATTTACCAATAGACGATTACCCATTACATCTGAGGATTGAGATAACTTTCCGACACAGGGTTAAATGAATAAACAATAAATAAAATAGTGATTTTAGTGGTGCAAATCCACAAAGTGGCTCTTCTTCTTTGGGAGTTTAGTCTAGTTTAGGGTAGCAAAATTTAACTGAACTAGGTATGCAAAGGGGTCCGTGATCTGGGCTGCCAGTGGCACATCCCTACTCAAACATTCCTACAGTACCTCTCTCAGGCAGATGGCATTACCTTTGTCATTTGAACCTGGGCTTCATTGGTGGAAGGCGAGTGCATTCTCCCAACACTTTGCCACCCTTTCCCATCCCTCAAAAACAACGAACCAATGATAGACAGAACTTAGATTAAACTGATGAATTATCACTTTATTGTTCTATTACAGGTCTTAGCTGAAAGGGAATGGACAATGGCTACCTTTAGGAAATGTACCGAAGATGTGTTTAAAAGATTATACCCTGATGAACCAAAGCTAAGAATTTCTAGTTTACAAAATGAGTTTCATTTTGATATACCACTTAGTTACAAGGTTGATGATGTGTTAGTTGATGCTGGACTTGTGTTTGCTGTAGAAGAAGAAATCAGTCTGGTAAACTCCTTAAGGTAGTTAATAATGTCATTAATAAAGCAAATATCAAATTTATTCTATTTGGAATGTGGTAGAAATCTCAGACCTCTGACCTTGGATAATCAGACCTACAAAAAAATATAGACCTCATCTTTACTTGAAAACTCAAGTGATAGATCATAAAACATGAGACCCTCAATAGCTTATATACACAATCACCTTACATGCATGTTATGTATATCTAGTCAACAACAACATGTGTAAAACCAGAGGACATAGAATATGCTAGTTAGTAAAATTATTTTAGTTACTTATTCATCTTTACATTTTTTGTATGTCAATAATATTATGCTTGCAGCTTTGACCAGTAATGCAAAATTAAATATTCTGACTGTTTATTTTACTGAATATATTTCCCCTTTAACAGCGTGGTATCTCCTGAAGAATCAGAATTGAAATCAAAGACAAGTGATGTAAATGAGGAGGAATTTCTTAAAGATTACTCTTCTGGGCCATCAAGAAGAAAACGGGCAAAAAGTATCAAGAAAACCTCAAGATCGGTCAAAATTCAAACCCATCTTTCAGGAAAAGCAGTAGATAGTTCATCAAGTACCAGAGTTTCATCAACAACAAGTCCAACGTCAATGGATCAAGGTGTGGAAAGAATGGTTATATTATAATATGCAATTTTTTTTAAATAAAACTATTAATTGCCATATATGGTCTGAAGAATTACCGGTATGCAGATAGAGGAGGGTGTTATCAACCAAGGCTGATTGAATTTTAAGTTCCAGTCATCAATTGCCTGCCTTTTTCAATTTTCTGCAGTCACCCTGTGTCATGAGAGAATAATTTAATTAGGTTGATTGTGCTGTGCATGAGTAGTTTTTTTGGACCTTGTGGTTGTCAAGTTGTAGCTCGAGTGTCAGAGTTGAAGATGTACACGTAGGACTTTCTTCTTGTAGAATTATTCAGTTAATTTTCCTGTTTCTCAGTTGTAAAATCAATACCCTGCACCTCTGTTGTCTTTTCATTGGATACCAAGAACATATTGCACATTGGGTCAACGTTACATGTAGCTGGTCATAGAGAATTTGCAGGGAGCTTTTAGGCAGTCAGAAGCTTATACAGTACCATGTTTCCTTTAAAGTCACCACAGTTCTAGGCAGATTTTCTAACTTTTCTGTGCAGCTTTTGTGCAAGGTTTGTCTGAATTTAGGGTTGGTGATAAAACTTCTCATTTGCTTAAAACATGATGGTACTATGTGTTTATTCTTTGTTTCTTTGTTGTTGTTTTTTTTTCAGAAGGACAGGACGGCATAAATGCATTAAAAGTACATATGCTAGTTCTATTAAATAAATGATTTTTTTCTTCTCTCAGCATCTAGTATGATGCCCCAGATTGTGGAGAAAATATCAGAAGATTCAGAAGTGGATATCGAGGTAGACAATACTTTACCAACAGTAGTTTCTGCAGCACAAAGAAACACCCTTTTAACTTTCAGACATCTCCTACCCCCATACTGGCCCGTACCCCTTGAAGTTCCCACCTGGGTGAGTGTTGACATCTTGTGGAACCCAGGGTACACAAATTCTTGAAAAGTCCATGAATTTCGGAGGAAGTCCTAGAAATGCTCTCGAATTCAAGAAATCCTGGAAAAGTCCTTGAATTTTTCCTAAACTTGGATGTCTCAAAATAAAGTTGAGATGTTAGGCACAAATTTATTTGAGTACAATTCCTGTTTTCTAAATAACTGTGTATGCCAGTTAACCTTCTCCAAATATCACACAGATTTTTGCCACATAGAGCTAATATTTCATGGCTTTGTGTTAAGTGTTGTTGGCTTTGATAGTCTTTGTAGAACTCAAATGTTTGTTATCTTTATCCATCTAGAGCGTAGATGACTCCATAGTTCAATCCTTTGAGAACACGTCCAACACCACAGAAGCTAAGAGAAAAGTTAGTAACAAAAAGGCAAGCCAGCAGCTTCTTCGAAAGGCAAGAAAACTTAAACGAAGACTTTGAAGAAAAAGGCAATCAGACATAAAGAATGGTATTGTTATCAAACAATATTATTGTTTCAATTTCTGGACAAGACAAACTGTATATGGGGGAACCTTTCCCATGAATTTGTTCTTACAGCCAGGATCATTCCTCAATCGTTAAGGTTTTTCTTTGAAAATCAAAGCTGGCTGCTACACAAGAAACATTGAGGATTTGCTTCCCTACCTCCCCCCCCCCTCCCCCCAATAAAAAACGGTATGAAAGACCTTGGCAGTAGGTACCGCTAACGTGGAATAAGAGTGCTGTATTGGTATTGATTACTTTGTATTTTTTGTCGTAATTAGAATGCTGTAATTATCATGCTGATCTTGTGAAGCACAAATTATGAGAGATTGTGTGAAAATTTCTCCATTGTGTAAAGAATAAATAACATTTAAACTGATGGGAAAAAACTCTGTGTCTATCATTATTTTAGTTTAACTATTTTATATTAGCATGTATACTACTTGGAGAATTTCAAGGCCTACAGAGCTTTCTGGAGGAAGTCCAGTTTCGAGTTTGCTATGACCGCTGAATTAAAGGAGTGACGACGCATTTTTTACAGGCTTAGCCTCCACCTGAAGTAAATATATTCACAAATTCTAACAAGAGAAACACCTGTTTATTTCTTTGTCTATTGTATACATTCAAATTTCAAACACTTACTTACTGGAATTTCTAAATATTTTACCTTATGTCGAGGCTAACCCTGTATGAATGTGTCATTAATGTTTGTATTCATTTGTAATTTCTAATTCGAAACTGGACTATTTTGCAATAATCCTTTCTGCTGGGCCAAGCTCTTGGAAAGATCAACCTTGAGGAATAATATTGCACCATTGCTACTTCCTTACCAGACATCTCTCTCAAATTTGTGCACAAAGGTGGGAAGGAGAAAATGGGCGAGATGGTCATTCCCATCTCTTTTTTTCTCCTTCCTTCCTGTGGTCCCTCACACTTACTCACAAGTTACTTGCATTTCACACTTGCCTTTGTTTGCAACCAAACTGCAAAAAACAAAGAGGAGGCAGGTGCAAATGATTGGTAGTTGCATCTCACCACCATTTGAGGGAAGCGGGGCGGGGCTGCAAAAGCAGGGTAGTGGGTTGGGGGGGGGGGGGGTTTTTTGACCTTAGGGAAACAAATTACTGTTGTCAAGACCAAATTCATACATAGCGGCCACACCCAACTTCCCAGTATGGCCATTCACTGAAACCTGGGCACAGCCGCACCCCCGGGGGAATGGCCGCCCGGGACCAGGTGGCGCCCCCGGGAGTTTTTGAGAGGCTGAAAACGTAAACTGGGAAGAAGGGCGTACAGGGTAACTAAGGTAACCAGGCGACACAGGTAACAAGGAAACAGAGGTAACAAGATATCAGAGCAAACAAAGAATCAAGAGTAACAAAGTAGCAAGGTAACAGAAGTGACAAGGTAACAGAAGTGGCAAATAACAGAACTAACAGAGGTGACAAAGTACAGAAGTAACAGAGTATAAGGGGCAACTAAGTGACAGAAGTAACAAGGTAATCGGACAGTCAAAGTTACAAAGGTAACTCATCGGTAACAGGGGTAACAAAAAAGCAGAAGAAACAGAATATCAAAGGGGAAGAGAGTAATGGGGTAACAGAAGTAACAAAATTACGTAGGTTATGGGTAGCCGAGACAACAAAGTAGCACAGGTAACGAGATAACCAAGTAATCAACGAATACAATCCTGCAAAGTGAACAAGTGCAATCTCGATCATGGAGACAAGTAAGTGTGCATGCATTGTGTGCACAGACGTCCGGGACATTTTGCGAGGGCTTACATGATGAACTAGCCCTCCAAATAGTCTAGTGGTCTATAATCAATGCTTCGTTCTGATTGATTTCATTTTCTCTTCCATTGTCTTAAATACTCAATCCCAAGGGAGAAATTCTACAATCAAATCTAACAAAATTTTGTCGACTTTAATCAGCTATCTTACACAGAATTAATAATTAAATTGATGAATTCACAGAATTTTTCCATAAATTCACATTTGTTGAAATTTGTCTCATTATGTAATGATTTACGTAATAATTTCTTATCAAATCATTTTGATGACACTTGATTGACTATAGTAATCATTGCATTGCATTATCATTGTTATGATTTGTTTGTTTGTTTGTTTTTTTTATGTTAAAGCTTTTGCAATACTGTAACTACATAATTATAGTCATGCAAATAAAGCTTATGTTGTTGTTGTTGTTGAGATGCTCTTTATAGATAAGCCTAGTGGTGCTAAGTACTTGTTTAATTAATGTACCACACACATGTGGTAGCTATTGGTTGGGAACAGCAAAACTGTTCATAGTAAGTACATAGAACAGGGATCTACTGGCCATGGAGTTGCTGGTGTGTACTTCCTTGCTGAAAATGGTCTTGTCAACAGCACTGTTTCAAGGTTTACCCCCCTTTTAGTTGACCCTTTAAGCCCCAATACACACATACAAATTCTCCACACTGATCTCCATACATTTTCCTTAAGAATGTGTTGAGAGAATTTGATAAAAGGTCAAGGCATTTTCTCTTTAGTGATCATTTTATTAATTCTCATAACCTTATCTCTTAACAATGTATGGATATCGGTAGAAGAAAATTGATAGGCCCGTGATATTGGTCACTATTGGGACGTAAAGGGTTAAGCCCCACCCAATTCCCCCAATATTTATTTTTGAATCACTGAGAAGATCAGAATTAATCGCCCTGTCACCCTCCCCTAAATTCGAAGGTTATTTGACCTCCCCACACTAACCTTTGCGATGTTTAGTTAAGTTTCAAGGGCGTCAAAGAAGTCACGTGGTGATCCGTAGTGATACTTCCGGCGGCTGTTTCTTTCATCACTTTGAATCGAGTCTGCATTCGAGGGACGAAAAATGTTGAAGTGTTGTGGGTGCAATCATCAGTGACACGCACAGAAACAAAACAAATCTGGCAAATTGTGAACGTTTTTCTTCCGTTACTATCAGACAGTGCTAATCAATGGGGCGCGAGCTTCATTTCGACGGGACACGCACATCTTCAGCAAACAAACGACATCCAAGCGTGAACAAGGCGGCTACCCGTGGATTCATGAGAGACATGCTATGAAGTCACTCAGTGCAAATCGAGTGTTTGTTTTTTTATTTTTCGGGGCATATTGGAATGTGTGTAATACTGAAGACGATGCTGTGATACGCAGTGAACCTCTCCAATATTGCCCCTACTTTAAGAATCGTGGTCCGTCAAGACAGGAAAATCTCGGAAACTGCAGCTGGTATAAAGAGAGTTCTTGCTGTTATGACGAAGAAATCGAATTTGCGTTCCGCCAATTAACTCCACTCATAGGCGCGAGCGGTGACTGCTTAAAATATCTTAACTATTTATACTGTTACATTTGCGCTCCAAATCAGAACACGTTCTTCAAGGACTTCACACTCACTGTCTGCAGAGAGTTCTGTGATCGCGTCTACGACTCCTGCAAAAACGCCGTGCTAAAGGGACGGAAAATCAAGTACATCTACAAGAATGGTGAGCAGTTTTGTAAAGGGCGTCGCTTTGAGACGGATATGGAAGCAAACGGGAAGTGCTTTACTTTCAAGCCAAGGCCAACAGTGAAAAGTGGATCGCAAAGAACTGACTTTTGCATGGGGTTTGTCGTGTTTGCGCTTTTCGGTAAGCGCTGTGTTTTGTTTTGATCGAAAAGTCACGAAAGCCAACCGCATCACGTTAGCGGCCGACCAGGACGTTTAGACAACCCATCCATATTTGTCGTACACTTTACTACTAAACTGAAAGTATAATCAGTAATCCACATGGTAAGTAATATATTAGTCATTCATCGAAGAGTTTTGAAAAGCACGCCAAAAAAATCCTGTTGAGAGTGGTCTTATAAATGGCAACAGGCGATGTTTATTTCATCGTTCGGCTTTGTGAGAAGACAAACTTTTAAACAAACAAACCGAAATGTGCCTGAGATTGCGTCAGGTTTCAACACGAAAGAGAAGGTTTTCCGCCATATCATGAGAGCAAAAAGTACACAAAAGGATTCGCATTATGGTAATTTGTTCTTTTCATTTCAAAGGATTATCAGCCAATGTACAAGTGTACATTGCGACATGCGATGAAATCGAACGTGATCGCGCGAAAAAAATTCTTTCAACATAGAGAAAATTTATAGTATATTTCTGAAAAAAGAACAGTATAAGTTCCATACTAAAAATTCAATGTTATTTGAAGGATTAAAATTCCAGACTGTTCAATCAGTTCAATGACTGTTTAGCAAGTTTAACCGCGGGCGATGAGAGTTATAGCCCAAAGTTCAAAAATATTTATCGTTCTTGTAATTTTCTCTTACAAATAGCAAGAGGAATGTCAAAGGTAGAGTGAAATATATGCTTGTCCCTTACAAATTACCATATTCCCCCAGATGCAATTGGTGTGCTTAAATTATTATTTGCTTCAAAGTGTTGTTATATGAAATACAAACATACAATATGTTAATTAACATATTATATTTTCCTTACCAGCCAGTCAAAATATTGCCTGCAGCATTTGAGTTAATTCTACAAAGTAATTTAATAAAATATGCCTGTACTAAAAAAGAAAAAAAAGGAAACATATTTTTTTTGCCGATGCCAAGAAATGCGTTTATGATATAATAATGCTCTATAGTANTTATCGTTCTTGTAATTTTCTCTTACAAATAGCAAGAGGAATGTCAAAGGTAGAGTGAAATATATGCTTGTCCCTTACAAATTACCATATTCCCCCAGATGCAATTGGTGTGCTTAAATTATTATTTGCTTCAAAGTGTTGTTATATGAAATACAAACATACAATATGTTAATTAACATATTATATTTTCCTTACCAGCCAGTCAAAATATTGCCTGCAGCATTTGAGTTAATTCTACAAAGTAATTTAATAAAATATGCCTGTACTAAAAAAGAAAAAAAAGGAAACATATTTTTTTTGCCGATGCCAAGAAATGCGTTTATGATATAATAATGCTCTATAGTAATTATGGTTAAAATTAAATGCTTTTGAATCAACTGACTTTAATTAAATATTTTTCATTTATTTTCTTGATCCTTTGATGACCTTTAATGTACTGCTGTAATCCACCACAAAAAAACTGTAACAGATTTCAGCTAAAGGGTGAGTTGATTTTCTTCTAGGGAAAGGAGATGTGAAAGTAGCAGCTAAATTAAAATTGCCACTAAGTTGTACTGAAAGACATCTGTTTGCCAAACATTTTCATTATGTCTTGGTCGTGTACTCTATGGCCAAATGTCTATTAAAAGTTTTCATTGCAGTCTAAGTTTAAGAAGGACACGATAATTAAAAAGCCCTGAAGGGACTGCCAGGAAAGAACAAATCAATAAAGATATTGTCAAAGTGTTGACAGGTGAAATTCAAAGGCAGGTGTGGTCATTAAAAATTGTGCCCCTTCTCAGTCCCCACCCCCCCCCCCCCCCCCAACCCCTGCAGAAATATTGTCCTCTTCTCATTTCTCCAAGCTTCCTATGATTTAAACAGGAATGGTGTGTGTCATTAACTAAAAAAAAAAAAATCAGTATTGGCTGATCATGTATCGCATCTTTACTGAATTTGCTGCACCCACCACCATTCTTCCTTTTTTTTGGGGGGGGGGGGGAGGGTGCATTGGTAAACATAGGCTTCACAAATCAATACTTTCTTTGGACAGCTGGGAATTTTGCTACTCTTAGAAATACAAGTACATTTAATTAGACAAAAGAATTCAAAACTAAATTCCAAAGTTAGGTTTATTATATATTAATCAACAATTATACATATTTCCAGTATACGCAAGTAAATTTTAGAAAAATAGGAAAAAAAACTGGCCTCATTATTTGCAAGGAGCTAGACTTCAATGTTGTACTTAACATGTCTCATCAGTCATTAATTTTGTTTCATCATTGAAGAATTTATTCCACAGTTCAATTAATGCCAAGCAGATGCAGCCAGGCTCTGGGAGTGGCTCTTCTAGGATTAAAGAAAACGTTTGAACAGTTAGCTAGTAATTTTTAAAATGCTTTTATTTTTTGGAATGTTGCCTGGGAAATTATGGCAATGCAAAGAAAAATGAAACTTTGCTTCTAGGATTCCCCCACCCCTCACCTTGTGTAGTGTAGTTGTTTGCTCTTTGCAATTTTATTTTGCAAATTATGATGAGAAATTATTTTTGTGTTTTCTTCACACTATTTCCCCTGCATTAAAACTACAAAATTAAAGTAAAGCAGATGTCATAATCTTAGGGTTGCCTAAAAAATATTTCCCATGAAAAGGCATGGTCGAGTGTTCTGCACATTTGATTTACAGCTGCCTTCTCCCGTGGTACCTAGAAGAAATTGACCAAGTGCACTTACTAAACATCAGCACTGCCTAACTGCACTGGTAGGTTCTTTATGGAAAAAACTTTCCCCAAGAGTTTTCAATGAAAACACATAACTACATGAACGGTGCATGCTATTTGTAATTATTAGACTGGTCTGGTACAGGAATGACAAACAGTGAAATTCTTTTTACAATGGGACTAGTCTCACTGGCCAGTAACTATTGTGTCCCAAGATTTCTTTAAAGGTTTGGTCTAATCCCCACGTGCACCTCCCCTCACCTCCCCTCCTTGGTGAATGCACATCAATACAAGTAGTTGTATGAAATGCATTGTATATTATGGGATCAGTGCCTGATTTAATGCTGTCGACCTTTTCAACAGATTATTTTATTTTCTTCAAGTATTGCCTCGGGACTAACTTTCCCAAAAGTCTTTAGCTTGACAAATACATCTGTACCACCCCCTTAAAAATCGTATGACCCTCAGTTCCTACTTTTTGTCACGCAACATGTGGTTCATTCCACTGAAAAAGATTACATTAAAAAAAAAACAATAACGACACAATATTGTCCTTTCTAAAAGTAAACATTCGCTACAAAGTAAGAAGACGAGACACCACTTACCTCGTGAACAACCGACTTGTATTCAGAAAATAGCATACAGTATCAATATCGTTGAAATGCCAGAAAACCACAACGAAGGAAAAGCGACCAAACTGGACATTGCTGAATTCAGGATTTTTTGTTCAAAGCTGAAACAATCTGCCTCACTTGCACTTTCAACCAGAAATTTCCTCGCCAAGCAAAAATCTTTTCCAGACTCAAACAAATCCTTGACTTTCATTCCTTTAAGTTTTGCGGTACCACAGGCGGCGAACCATTTATCGCAAAAAGACTCACATACAGTCAATCTTTCGTCCTTGTAGAATAAATTTTGGTCCGGTGCACACACGTAGCACATTAAGAAATTCGTGTAGCGCAAACATTTGTCGCTCGCTCCGAGCGGAGGAAGAACCAGCGGAAATATAAGGTCTATTTCGGTCTGAAGACAACAAGCTTTCTCTTTGTACCATGTGCAGTTCTTGAGATCTGGCTGAGGCTTGGGTGCCCGATTTTTAAAATAAGGACAGTAATTTTCTTTCGACTTGAATGCGCTCTCGCTCTTTGCCGAGTCTCCACCATTTAAAAATGTTACAACGAAAAGCACAAGCGTCAAATACATTTTAGACAGTTGTTTCAAGTCGGTTCTAACTGGAGTACTTTGAACTCGCGGCTGACTCCGAAATTCGATACTTGATTGCGGTTTTCAAGAAGGATGGACTCTTTCTTCCTTAATATTTAACTACGTTTAGTGGTGAAGAGTAAACAGAAATAAGATAGAGGAGGTAAACAATCCTGACAAGCTGCCCACATTCGTTTGTTTTCTTTTCAAATAAAACAAAATGACCTTTTGAATGGACAGAGATGTGCTAATTTATTCACGGGCCGGATCTACCGCTAAGATGAACAAAAAAAGGTTCCCAGGGGTATATTACCAAGCTGTTTTTTTTTTGCATCTGTGACAGGCTATATAGCTTTAGTTTTTACAGCATATGTTTTCTGAAAACGGCGTTAAAATTTCATTCCATATGACCCTTTTATGTCTCTAGAGTCATAAAGCGAACTCCTACTTTCGTAGACAAAGCGATACCTAATTACCTATTGAAACACTCCTAAACGAGCTCGCTGTATGTGCTAAATCACAACCAGGGAATTTTGCATGGAATCTGGGAGAAAAATCATATCGTTTGTTTCCCAAAACGTTTCCAGTCTAGCCATTTTACTTATTGTGATAGTTGATCGAAGCTAGAGTAATCGCGTGATAAAATGTAACACGTGCCTCCTCACGTGACCTGTATTTCGCGATAACGTAAGGCAGAGCAATGACAAGTAAATCAAACTTGGAACCTTCAAGAAGAAAATGGGTTTTCTTTATTTTTCTTCTCGTGGATTTTCAGTGGTTTTTCTGCAAGTCTAAACTTTAAGCATATCCTTTATGAATAGGAATTTGGTGACACACAATTAACCCGACTGGTCCGCGACGAAAAATCTAGACAGATTCCATCTCTCTCTCTCTCTTGCTGGTGATATCCCAGTTCACAGGAGCACACGCCCTTTAATTCTGAAACTTACCCAGAGAGTAAATTCCTTCGAGAGTTACACTGGCGCACGATTCTACTCTTTGCGCAGCAGATTTGATTCTTCAGTGAGCATAAATAGCTTTAACTAAGATTATCCAGCCGCAGCCATCTAGACAAACGCAAAACAACAGCATTCATGATGTATCCGTCAAGTCTGCGTTCGGGGGAAGCCACACGCCCATGGAACTAAGGATATTAGATGCTGGTCCAGCTAGACCCTCCTGTGTGGAGAAGGATTCTAAGATGTTTTTAACAAGATTGAAGTCCACATCAACTGGCGCGTCCTCGTCATCACTCCCTTGAACTTCATTAACTGCTCCGCTGTTTTTGCTTTCAGAAGTGCCTTGTGATTTAGCTTCAAAAGATGAAGCACCTCTCTGTGGTAAAACAAAAAATATGAATTAAAAAACAAGCAATGAATGAGTTTAATTTAGAGTATCTGTATTCGATTAACAAATTATACTTTATTACTTTTACCTTCGTATAGGAAGTCATTGTCCTTTCAAGGTTCAGCAAACTCGCAATAGGTTTGAAGACAACACACCTGTCCAATATTCACCACTTGTTCAAGTCGTAAAATCTAAGACTCTAGTGGTACCAGTCTTAAAGTGTGCGATTAGTTCAAGTGGTGAATGTGACGAAGCTAAGGGGCTAAATTCCCTCCTCTCCTCCCCTCTAACAATGTAACTTCTGTTTGCCAAAAACAAATAATGTCATTTTTGACAGACGTGGTGGGTTTGGTGGGGGGAAGGAGGTGGTGGAACAGCCACCCGTCTCCGCCGTCGATCCCCACGGCACCGGTGTTATAGACAACGTCTGCCCTAATCTGCTGGATAAACTCACTCGCTTTTTCCCTCAATCAATTTGGTAAGTTTTTAAAAAAACGCGCGCTAGGGTGGGAATATTCAGGGAAAAAGGTTTAGTTGTTTCAGCCAGGACTCTGCGAAGACAGGCCTTAAAAAGTTAATGTAGCGTACCAACTTATGGTCTCCATGACAGTGCGCATGCACTAACTACCGTGCATGCATTTGGGAAAAACAATACACGCGAAAGGTAGTGAGGACGGAAAACTTTTCATTCGTCGTCAAAGATATCCGGATAACCCATTTGGTGTCGACGAGGTCTAAAAAGATATCCCACTCCCGCCTCGTTCCCAGTCGCTCGCCATCACTTTGTGGGGAAATTTGAGTTAATTACGAAGGAAAGGGGGATCACTTCCCGCTTGCGCGCGCGCCTTCCCATCATCCCCTCTCGCGCTTCTCGCTTGTCTCCCTTGTCCCCAGCTGTCGCGCTTCTCGCTTGTTCTGTCACTAAGCCTCATGAAAGCCCATGGAGGAGGCAAATCCCACTCACCTTTTCAAAACTCTCCCCTATTGATGTCCGCGATAATTCCTCATCCATTTGATCCATATATGACGTCAATTCTTTATCTTCCCCACCGGACTGCATGTTTCCTTGAACACCTAAAAGTAAATTGATTCAGCCTGTTTTTATTTAATGGCCTGGCAGTTACGAATCAAATGAATAAAACGTCTGCTGAAAGGAACATGTTTGTTTCAAGTGTTTCTTTCAGTTGGGTTGATTAACACTATACTATGCAACCTCGTTCCCAGGGTTCTCTCCTACCCGCCCTACGGAGGGCGGGTAGGAGAGAACCCTGGGAACGAGGTTATATACTATGTTCAGGTATTCAGTCATTTGTCGCATTATCCACTATTAAGCTTATATGTTCCCACTGTATCGGATTAATGGAGAGCTACTGTTCCGTCACGAAAACCATACTGGATAGGGCTTCTGTTCACGTATGAGAACGGTGATTTCAGCGCGATTTCTGTAACGGAGCGAAGCTACGCCACGTCGCGCCCATCGTCATACCTGTCCAATACTCCAACAAATTTATGCATGGCTTTGTTAAATTTCTCATTGTTCTGCTTCGTTCTGTACTGTTAAACTTTAGTACAGTATTGCAATGTGAAGACAATACATTACAATGCCATGCATAAATTTGTTGGAGTATTGGACAACCCTCCCCATCGTGAAAGTGGATCGTCACAGATCGGACCGGTTTTTTGCTACTCCTAGTCTAAGTGCCATACACAGCCCTTTTTGTCTCGAGACAAAAACAGCTGCGTGGGAGTTTATGTTAGTGTGGACCATAAGGAAATAAATGAGCAGGAGCGGGGACTGGAAGCCACCGAGACGAACGTAAATAAAAGTGAAGGATTGCGATTTAATGCACCAATTCTCCCCAGCTAACCAACCTGGTAAGATGCCTGATGTGTTTTTTGATCACTGAATGTTGTGCGAACACAGTTCTGTGCGTTTGGTTGCCGTAGGATAGCTTTTTTGTCGGCACGAAAGGTTATCGGCGTTGGTGTAGAAAAAGCCCAGTTGTAGAAGTTCACTCCTAAATCCTAAATTGACTGACGTCCACAAACACAGACTTTCCAAGTGTCACGACTTTGTCGTGTGTCTCACGATTTCACGACCTATCTCACGCTTTCACGAGTTGGCAACTTATTTCTCACGATTTCTCGAAAAGTCAAACTCCAAAAACGCGTCTAACTACATATTAATAGATAGCCAGTTCAATCCAAAGAGAACGCTTCGCGGTCGCGTTTGATTGCATTCTTCTAGCTTACCGCTACTTGCCGCTGCAACCAAATGGGAAGCTGTTTCTCTCAAGATGGCCACCAACCACACATACAAAATTACAAAACCTAAGTCGTAAAATTGATCGTGATGTTTACTGCCCCAGTTTTTAAGTGATATGTGATTTCCAATACCCATAACCTCCACTAAAAGTCCTTCCAATAGGAAAATTTGGGACATCTCACGACATTTTACAAGCTTTTTATACATTTCTCACTACCTTTCCCAGCTCAGGTTCAGACTCTCACATTTTTTGCCTTTTGGCGGTTGGCAAGTCTGCAAACGTTTCACGAAATTACAGAATTCTAAGTATTGAAGTATTCTGAAATTCCCTCTGACCTTGATCCGATTCGTGCTCATCATCTGAGGACAGCTCCACGTCTTCTTCATCACTTTCACTCTCGGCACTGCTTTCGTCATAGTTGCTCGTTCTATTTCCTAGGAGATTATTGCCACAGTGTACAGTTGTGGGTTTAAAAATCAGAAAGATACTACAGTTGAACCTCTCCACAACGGCCACCTTGGGGACAGAAGAAAGTGGCTGTGGTATAGACTTTCTCGAAGTCTTTCGCTTCTCATTTCCGGTTCCGGTAGTTGGCCAAAGCGCGAAGGACTTTTATCCCCTGCAGAGCGCCACATTTACAGGAGGAATTTTCCTCCTGTAGGCTTTATCCAATCACGGACGTTTTTACTGATGCGCCGCCAATCAAACCCGATCACGTGACATGAAACGTGACTTGAACTGTGAATTTTTTGCGGGCTGTAGTGAGGTTGAAACGAGTCAGTGTATGGATTCTTTTGTCCGCCGGGACGAGAAAAAGGGGCCGTTGTAGAGAAGTGGCCGTTCTGGAGAGTTGGTCGTTAGCGGAGGTTCGACTGTAATTCGAGGGCGGCGCTCAATGAGAAATTCATCCCCGTTAAATCAACGGATCGTTTCACGCGTCACGAATGATCGCAATATTCTTTCACGCTCACGCATGGAATCTGGACATATCGCAATAATTGTGTGGCTCACTGATTCACCAAATCAAAAATGACAGAAATGATTACAAAAATTATTCACGAATCGCGTTTATCATTTATCGCAATCAGGTTATAAGTCAAAAACTGTAAATCACGAATCACAAATATTTCTAACAAGTATCTAAAAGTAGCCTGTTCCAGCTTCCGAGATAGTCGGGTTCGCGTGCCTTACTGGAACAGGTTAAATCTAAAAGCCACAATCATTCTTTACAAGAAATGCGAGTGAAATGAAAAACAAAACAAAACCTACCCAATAAGTTTCCAACTGTGTCCATAAAGGAGGCGGCATCGAACTGAATTTCGTCGCTTTCTTTTTCCCTGGTAAATAAAAGTCTGGTTTAGATAGTAGAACTTTGTCGGCTGCGAAGCATGAATCTAACCCTACATATTAAGAATCGTTCGCGTTTTACCCCCTAAAAAGGCTAGATTACGATATCGAGGACGATACAGTATAGCAAGAGAGCTGTCTTGAGTATAGCGATACTGACGGAAGCGAGGGGAATATCGCGAGAAACCACGCGAGATCACGCTCGTACCCTTCGTCAGTAATCGGCTCCTGCCTTCGTTAAAGAGCCCGTTCTAGTCTTCCACGACCACGCCAAATACTAATAATGAGAGACGACTGGGCAACGAGTCAAATAGGCTCCTGAGTCCCTCTTGAGTATAGCCATACTGACGGAAGCGGGGGGAATATCGCGATACACCACGCGTGATTTCGCTCTCACGCTGGAAACAGACCTTAGTGAATTGGCTTGAGAGCATGCGTGAGAGGTGAGTAGAAACGTAGCCTGTTCCAGGCTCTCCGAAAGTGAAGAAGACGCGAAAGTAAAAGGCACGCGAAAAGGTGGCGGGACGAGACAGAGAGAGACTCCCCCGCCCCTTCTCTCCCCAGCTTCCTCCCGTTTTATTTTCGTGTTCGCGCTTTCTCAATTCAGCAGGCCCGACTAACTCTGAGCCTGGACGGAACAGGCTACGAGAAACGAGGACGACCGCCCCCGGTCTAATCTTTCCTACTGCCGTAAAATCGTTACGCAAACGTGTTGGGTCAGTTCCATGACTGCTTTCGCCTGATCATTGGCTGGGTGAAAGAACGAGGCATTTACAGGCGTATCGCACTTTTTTGTATCATGGCTGAGAGAACGAAGCTTATACATGCGCAACGCTTCTTTCGCTTCTTAGCGGAACGACATAAGACGTTAGCGAATGGGACAGCCTGCGTAGCATGGCGGTTTGGGTTGGGCGCGCAAAGTAATAAAGTCGGCGAGGCCGCTCGTTCGCGCGCGTTTTTGCGGCTTCACCGCTCAGTAGCTAGTGCTCCCAACAAAACTGCCACGCTACGCAGGCTAACGGGACGATAGCGAAACGACCGGTCAGCTCTCGCGACTCCCCCAATCAGAGAGCTTGCTCGCAGGCTAGCCTTATACAAAGTAGACTACTAGCAGTCTCTCTCTTTTTTCTGTAGTCCGTCGAGCAAAACGCGAGACACACAAATGGCCACGCGTGTGCCCTCGTTTCGCGGCTTTGCCACTCGCGCGTGCATTCCTCTTACTAAATCTGAAGAATAAAAGAGACTACTCGCAGTCTATATACAAGGTCGGTACAAATGCAAAAGTTTGCAAAAAACCATCAACAGAGACGGAATGAAGAACTCTGATTGTGACAATGAGAGGAATAGGCAGCTAACTGGAGAATTTTTTTACAGACGGTCACTTAAAAATTCATTCAACCGTTTAGCTGGGTTTAGGCGGGAAGCCGATATTCATTCGCATACAAAACAACGCGTATTACACTGAATTGGAAAGCAAATTTGAACAATCAAATCCAGTAATGAATGAGAAATAGGTATTGGCCGTTGACTTTTACCGCATGTGGTGGCTCCTAAAAGAGCCGTTTGTTTTGGGGTTAAACTCACGCAGTGAGTTTACTTGCTGCTGGTGTATTTGGTCACGGCCTTGGTTCCTTCACTGACGGCATGTTTCGCCAGTTCACCAGGCAAAAGCAGCCTGATGGCGGTCTGGATCTCGCGAGAGCTGATTGTTGATTTCTTGTTGTAGTGGGCAAGGCGGGAAGCTTCGGTGGCGATGCGCTCGAAGATGTCGTTGACGAACGAGTTCATGATGCCCATGGCTTTGCTGGAGATACCAGTGTCAGGGTGAACTTGCTTCAACACCTTGTAGATGTAGATGGCATAACTTTCCTTTCTCTTTCCCCTCCTCTTCTTCTTTGCATCACCTCCGGCGGCCTTTGCCTTTCCAGCCTTCTTCTCGCCTTTCTTTCCTGCAACTTTGAGTGGCATGTTTGTGGATCACAATGGATTTGAAATGCCTCGCAGCTCGATGTATCTTGTATTTATGTCAAAGGAGCGGAAAGATCAATTAACATGCGGATCGAAATACTCGTTCGGTGATTGGCCGGTTTCACATTTCTTTCAATACTGTGACCTCCTCGGTCAACTTTCTTTGCATGTGATTCATATGAACAAGCATGTTAAATGAACAAGTTTTGATTGGTGCATTTCGATCCTGTATGTAAAACAGTTCATTATAAAAAATGCAGATCGCCTGACATTGCTCATTTCTGAGTCCTCGTAGAGTACACGAACTATCAATTCGAACTATCCAAAATGTCTGGTCGCGGTAAAGGCAAAGCCAAGGGCACCAAGTCCAAGAGCCGATCATCCCGAGCAGGGCTTCAGTTCCCTGTCGGTCGTATTCACCGTCTTCTTCGCAAAGGCAACTATGCCGAGCGTGTTGGTGCAGGTGCTCCAGTTTACTTGGCGGCTGTGCTCGAGTATTTGAGCGCTGAGATCCTCGAGTTGGCGGGCAACGCTGCTCGTGACAACAAGAAGACAAGAATCATCCCTCGTCACCTTCAGCTGGCCGTCCGTAATGACGAAGAGTTGAACAAGCTTCTCGCCGGTGTCACCATCGCCCAAGGAGGTGTTCTTCCCAACATCCAGGCTGTTCTTCTGCCCAAGAAGACTGAGAAGAAGCCGAAAGCTTAAACTGAAGCTTTCACTTAAAAACAAACGGCTCTTTTAGGAGCCACCAAATGTTATGAAAGTCTAAACCAACAGAGAATGCAGTCATAAAACCAATGAGAAAACGAAAAAAAAAAAAGACAAACAGATAAAACGCCTAATTCATTTATTGCACGAGCAAAATGCCCTCAATGATAAGAAAAGGTTTCTCTGAAGTTAGTTGAAGACATTTAGTTATGCCAGGAGCCCCGGTTTACGGTCGTTTCGATACACGTTTAGTCAGTTTAGGTGTAAATAGTTCCACGTACTTGGCTTAAAGAACGAAGAGTATTCACCCAAAGTGTTTTTCATGTAGACCCGCAAACTATATACTTGAAGTGATCGAAATTTTTGTGCAATATCACTGCCCGAGTTCGTATCTTAACGACTTGTATCGAAACGACCGAACTCCAGAGCCCCTTATGCCGAATTTAAGCGGGTCTCCTTTCCGTACACCGAAAAAAATTTGATCTGTCTCTTTCAAAGTTTTCATTCAAATGTAAATTTAGAACAGCCACTTGAATGAATTACCGAAGTGTACGCGCGGGCGGGAACGGGACTCACGATCCGTTACAAAAATTGCGCCCGCTGCTTTCTGTCGCAAAAAACTAGCCTGTGTAATACAAGACATCAATTTTTAAAATGAAAGACTAGGTTGCTGTAGGGGTAGCCTGCTTCTTACTTAACGCCTCGAATAGGCTAAAATAGGGGGGAAAGAGTCACAATAAACCCTAGGATCTTAAAAGACATCAGGTGAAAGTCGAGCGAGCATGATGCGCAGCGCGCTATGAAGCGTCACGCACGAGGAGATCAGAAGTCCGATCTCGAGAGCTACATATTTTATAATTTAAACGATGGAAAACCTTTGGGCTCGTCCCCTATTCTGAGACAAGACCTCTGAAGCCAGGATAAGAAATTAAGAAATAAATGAAACTGCCATTGTTTCGAACAGCGTGAATCATTGCCTGTTCACGGACACTCTATTTTCTCTAAAAGTCCGTCGTGCGCGCGTGTTAAAATATAACAACCGCGGGGGATTTATTGACTGCCAGCGCCCGCCGATGTTTCGAAAAGAACGGAAAGAAAAATGAAACAACGTCTTTGTACAGGCTACGTGAATCACTGTTTGTTTGAGATACATGAAACTAATTGAACTAGCAGGACTTGCGCGCTTGATGTTTCAACTCAAAAAGATTGAGAATCGGTTTATTGGTCATGACTTTAAGAAATTTAGTGGCTCCTAAAAGAGCCGTTTTTGTTGTAATGACGGTGTACGTGTAGTTTAACCACCGAATCCGTACAGGGTACGTCCTTGGCGCTTGAGAGCGTACACCACATCCATGGCGGTCACGGTCTTGCGTCACAGCATCACGGATCACATTCTCGAGGAAAACTTTGAGAACTCCACGAGTCTCTTCATAAATCAGGCCAGAGATACGCTTGACACCGCCACGGCGAGCAAGACGACGGATAGCGGGCTTGGTGATGCCTTGAATGTTGTCCCGAAGGATCTTTCGGTGACGTTTGGCGCCTCCTTTTCCGAGACCTTTGCCTCCTTTGCCGCGACCAGACATGCTTAACACAATTCGAAGAATCGAGTAATAACCGATAGTTCATGGCTCGACGCTTTTATAAGGCAAAGAATGACCTCTCAGAAAGCATTACACGATAACATCTTCCTATTGGACGATGCTAAGAGTCCAAGGGTCAGTTTAATAATAGATAAACGAATGCAAAATATGCTACAGGCAAGTCACGCAGGCAAGTCACGTTAGCTGCGTAAGAATCATCCAGCATTTGAGGGGCGAAAATGTTTTTACCAAATCGATAGTGCAGTATAAGCCTACGACCGATGAGTTTAGTAGTAACTTATGCAGTTCATTTGCCACAGAGTATCGTTTTAAGCCAAAATCCCGGCTAAAATCGATCATTACAACTACTTCGGATCGAACTTTGAACACCCATCTGTAAAAGATTTATAATGAGCCAATCAAATACCCTAACTCTGAACCAATCAGAAAGAAGCCCGCCATATATAAATTTAACCGGTGAGTTCTTGTTTTTATTCCTTGATATTCAAGTCTTCAAAGATGGCGCGTACAAAGCAAACTGCTCGTAAATCAACCGGTGGAAAAGCTCCACGCAAACAGCTAGCCACAAAGGCAGCTCGAAAGAGCGCGCCTGCCACTGGTGGAGTCAAGAAGCCTCATCGTTACAGGCCTGGTACAGTCGCCCTTCGTGAGATCCGTCGTTACCAGAAATCTACCGAGCTGTTGATACGCAAACTTCCCTTCCAGCGTCTTGTGCGAGAAATCGCTCAGGACTTCAAGACCGACTTGCGCTTCCAGAGTTCTGCCGTGATGGCTCTTCAAGAGGCAAGCGAGGCTTATCTTGTTGGTCTGTTTGAAGACACCAACTTGTGCGCCATCCACGCCAAGCGCGTCACCATTATGCCCAAGGACATTCAGTTGGCCCGCCGAATCCGCGGAGAGCGAGCATAAGTCGCTTGCAAACAAACGGCTCCTTTAGGAGCCACCACATTAATGAAAGCAATAACCAACATACATGATCCAAATGTCACGAATGTTTTTACTGCTTAGGAGTTTTTCCTTTTGCCTTAGTGCAGAGTTAGTCATCTGCACTGATAACGACGGCAAAGCATTTGTTCATGACTTGCTGATGCGCGGCGAACGCTTAAAACTATAAAAAAAAACCCTTACCCTGGAAATTCTGCTCCTTCATAACTTGACACTTTATCCACAAATGATTTCAAACTTCGAGTTACTTTATCAAGGTTGACAGCACTTCTCTGCTGGAAAATGAACGAACAAAAGCAAATGGTAACATGGAGAAGCGCTACCTTGCTAATACAGTCGCCACGTTTACAAATGTTCGGTTGAGTACCGGTCGTTTCGATGCAAGTACTTTCAGTTGAGGTGTACATAGTTCGACGTACTTGGCTTAAAGAACGAAAAATATTCACCCAAAATACTTTTCTTGTTCACGCGCAAACTATACTTAAAGTGAACGATGTTTTTGTGCAATTTCACTTCTTGAGTTCGTATCGAAAACACTCACATCGAAACGACTTTGTATCGCAACGACCAGTTTCCTTTCGGTTCAGTTCGGTCTCCGGAATAGCCCAACCGCGTTGATACCCAGAATGCACAGATTGACCTGAGACTGTTATAGCTAAGAATTGGTCATGAATTAGCCTGTGTACACACGTCCCCCCTCCCTCAGAAAAATCGGGAGAAGAGAAGAGAGTCTCCTCTCCCGATTTTTCCTGTGGGAGAGGGGACGTTAGCCTCCCACGCATACGTTCTTAGGGGTTCGTCACGCGTTCCTGTCCTACTAAGTGGACGAATTCCCTTTTTGAACTGTTTATGCCACCGCCAGTATAACATCTTATATAGTCGACTGTCTCTTAACGGACACCTAAAGGCCGGACACCTCTGTAAAACAGACACCTATAGAGTTGGTCAAAGCCTTTCTTTTCTCCCTTAACCCTTTTAGTCTCAATAGCGACCAACATCAATCTTCTCCTAACAATATCCACATATTGGCAAGGGAAATGGTTATAAGAGTTAATAAAATGATCACTAAAGGGAAAATGCTTTGATCTGTTATCAAACTCTCTCAACTAATTCGTTAAGGAAAAGCATGAAGATCAGTATGGAGAATGTATATGTGGATATTGGGAGTTAAAGGGTTAAGACGAACGTCTCTCTTAGGCGGACACTTAGTGCCGGTTCCCTAGTATCCGTCTTAGATAGAATTGACTGCAGACCCCGAAAGGTGGAAGAAACAAACTTATTCAAAGTTCATTTACAATTTCAAAGAGATAAAGACATGAACCAACGTAAAAAACACACATACACACAGTACTCACATCTTCATCAAGTGTACTTTCACTATTTATTGTTCCATCGTCAGTTCCATTTTCCGTTGACTTTGGATCACTGTATTTTGAAAGGATATCTTCCAAGTCTTGGTCAGACAAATTTAACCAGATATCATCTGCATATTCAGTTAGCCAAAAATGAAAGGAAAAGAGAGTATCAACAACTCCTGTTTAAGTGAGTGAAAGATGAGCTCTCATCTCTTGTGAGGAGTAATGTGACGTTCGTATGTGGTCTTCTTGGCTAGAAGGCTATCCTTCCCCGGCCTAAAGGAAGGCATAGTCTTAGGTCTATCGGTTACCGGTCGTTTCGATACAAAGTTGTTTCGATACGAGTTTATTCATTTGAGGTGTAAAAATAGTTCCACGTACTTTGCTTAAAGAACGAAGATATTCACCCAAAATGTTTTTTTTTTTGTTCACTCGCAAACTATATTTGAAGTGAACAAAATGTGTAGTTTGTATCGAAACGACTTGTATCGAAACGACCTGTTAACTATTCTCAAGAAGAAAGGCTGTGCCAATGGGCGTACGGCGCAAAGAAAAGGGAGAAGGAGAAACAGCTAGGAGTGGGGGTAGGGAGAGAAGTTGAGGGAACCTACTCTCTCCCTCTTCCTTTCTTCCGCCTTTTGGTCATCCGCTCTCCATTTCGCGCCACTCTCTGGCACTACAGTGGAACCCCGCCCTACGGCCACCCCGTCTATCTATGCGACCACCTCGTTATTACGACCTTATTCTTCAAGGACCCAAACGTAAAAATCACCAAGTTATTTTATTATTTTGAAGATAACGCGACCACCTCGTTATTACGACCGAATTTTATGGCGCAACGGTGGTCGCGTTAACGGGATTCCAATGTATCTGAACGCCTGAGACAAGCTATATTGGGCGCAACTTGGAGGAATAACTTCAAAATCCACAGTTTTTCATTTTAGTTCTAGACAGGAAAAATGGAGTTGCAGTGAAACGTTGACCTACATGACCCTAGCGCGAGTTCGTTAAGTAGCTGGAAAGAGAGCGAAAAGACTTTCTCGAGGAACTCGCACCAAATCGCTTGCTACGCAGGTGAGCATGACCCTGTTACAGATGATACGCTATGCGATAAAGTTTTGAAAAAAATTTGCACAATTCTCAGAGATATATCTTACTCACCATCCTCAGGAAGAAGTGGTTCCTCTTTCATCTTTTCAACGTCTATCCATGCATCTTTCAAGATTCTAGGGATGACTTCTCCAGGCTCAGACCTTTATTTAAAAAAGTTAGAGAAAAACGTTTGAATTGGAGAGATTTTTGTCATTAAACTGTCCAAATTTCATTTACATGAACCTTTCACATACTTAGAGAGGCTGTGGCTTCCCTCGCGGACGTTCTTAGTTCGTGGGTTTCGTCGCGCTATCCTTCTCCACGAACGCGAGGAAAGCGTGATGAGCGAACGGACGTCTGCGCGGAAGGCTAAAGTACATTGTAGAAGTCGAGTAGTCCCTACTTTCAGGGAGCGTGTGAAATCGCCACCCACGATCGAAGAAGGTGACACGCGCAACTCGCTTCTCCTCGCGCGTGGCACCTTTTGCCCGCGCTCGCATATTTTGCTTGTTTGCGTTCTTGAAAAAACACTAAAAATAGAAAAACTCACGTCGTAATCGTGCAGTGACGGCAAAGACATGTAACAAAAAAATTGATGCAAGCGAACGTTGTTGTTTTGGCTTTTTTGACGTATTTGATGCCGTCCAGTAAGATATTTTCAAGACTTAAGTAGCCAAACCTGTTTTCTACTGTAAAATTTTCCTTAAACTGCTGCTTTGCCTTCAAAAGGAGGTCTTGGTACAGTTTTGAACCCTCTATTTCGCCCTACAAAGTAAAATGTTTTAAGTATTAGCCACTTTTCAATACTGTTGTTATAGTTTAAATTCAACAGAAGACCAACACGTGGAAAGGAAATGAAACACTAATTTGGCAAAAGAGATAAGTTTTAAAATGGCAATCAATTTTCCATTCAACGAGTTAACACCACATCTGCTTGTAAACTGCCTACCTTGAAATAACCTTGCTTTGTCAGACAAGACAGAAATGTCTCCCACTTTGAGCCTTTAGGATCACTTGGCTCCTTAAGGTTAAACCATTAAGAAAAAACAACAAAATAACACAAAGTTTTGCACAACATCATAAAAAAATGTTATTTCTTAATTGATTATCAAATTTGAGTGAAAAGCAACAATTTTCATAACAAATCTCTATTGAGTGTCATCAATTACAAGGTTTTTATCTACCTGGGCACAGGGTCCTTTCATTTCATTTCTTTTACACAGGATCTGAAATCCACATGCCTGAAAACAAACAATAATCAACTTAGTGATGGCGCAAAATCTCTGTTCATGAACTCCTCTCTGACAGAGGGTAGTTAAACATGTTTCTTTGGCTGAATGCTAACAGATGCTAAACTACTAAACTGCAAGTACCACTCTAGCAGGTCAAACACTGTATGGAGTATGGACAGAGATTAAATTGGAAAGGCAATGCAAATAAAAAATGGTTCCAAATATTCAAATTTAAACTTGCCTGGTGTAGTCAAAGATTAAAAAAGTAAATAAAAGTCAGAAAAGGAACAGATGTTCCTTTTGTTATTGTTCTATTCAATAAAATGAGGAAAGAAAAGGAGGTGCACTTTGTTAGTTTGGCCAAGTGGGTGGTAGACTATCAGCAGTCTCTCTTTTTTCTTGGCTCGCAAGCAAAACGAGCGAGACACACAAATGACCACGCGTTTCTTGCGCAAATGACCAAGTGTTTCTCACGCTCGTGTGTGCGTGCACTCCCCCCACTAAAGCTGAAGAAAAAGAGGGACTGCTCGCAGTCTAAGTGGGTAGGTACTTGTTCAGGGGAGGACACTAATATTATTAGAGTGCACGTGGACACTTACAGAAAAGAATATTTTGATCGTATTTCAAGCTTGAAACAGAACAGCAAAATTGAAGGGGTGTGTGGAGAAAGGGCTCTAATTTATTACTCCAGATCAAGTGTTCCCTGTTGATTCACAAGTACATACAAGGTAATTTAAACAATCTAGCTTTTTGTCGTAAGTCACTTAAGGCTTTACTACAGGGGACCCCTTCATTTTATTTGATGCAAATATTTCATACCCGTAAAAAAATATAGTCTCATGTTACATATCATATGCACTATTATTCTGTAAACCCACTCTAGCGCTGATAAGAATAAATATACTTTGTTGCTTACTGATAAAATTATTAAAATAAACAGATACAGTACAACAATACAATAATATAACCATAAATACCAATTTAAGACCCAACTCATGAGCTTTGTACTGTGGATTAGATATAGCAGGCAAAGTCCATCCTGAGCAGCGCCTCTCTTGTTTGAATGGTTGTTGAGATAACTGAGCAAAGAGACACCGTGTAAAACGTATCTACAAGAGAACATGGCAATTGAACATCATTCTCTAGTAAACAGTTATTCAATGACTTATTACTTAAATCTTTTACAAAAATGGTTTGCTCTTTTGACTCTATATCTATAAGATAATGCCATGCTAAATGAAATAATAATAATAATAGTAATAATAATAATAATAATTCAGAAGAGAACTAGCAAAGTCCCTGTGAATTGAAACCCTGCAACAACATTACACTTAGTGAGATTAAACCGAGATTGGTCTTACATAACATACCCTAGCCATCAATCTTCTTTCTATGGTAAACTGTTCCATTTTCCTACATGCCTGTTGACACAATGAGAGATACTAACAGTTTATTTACTGAAAATCTAGGAAGATATCTAAGCTAACCATTTCACTATCAGGGCTGGTCTCAATAAATGCTTTTGATCGGCAGTCTACTGCTTCTTATGAGGCCTCTTAAAGCCGTCTGTTAAGATTTTATTCCATACCTTATTATAGGAAATTAAGAATTCAGAAAATTAATGCGAATTTCAAAGTCATGTTAATTTTTATAAACTATAATATTATTCTGTGTCATTAATTAAGTAGAGCATTAATTTCTTATAGTAAGGCATTATTTACTGCAGGCAATGAGAGTAGCCTACAATCCTAATCTCCAGGTTGTTACTACGCATGCGTCGCATGTATGTAGCCAGCATTTTGTTAAGACTTCCACTAAGAATGAATGGAATGCACATTTGGACCTTTTGTCACTCGTAATCTGATCACGGATGTTTTGACCATCTGTCACGTGAAACTTATGCAAAGCACAGGGCTGGAGCAGCATTTTGATCTTCAATCATTGTTGCCAGCACTCCATAACCTTTAGTTATTACTAGTACATGTAACTAGTAATAATTATATTTTGCAGCCACAGGTGCCTATGCCACCATCAGCAGTCACTTATGGAAAAAGTTATCGAAACCCCCGCATTATGTTACAAATCAGAGAATTATTACACTAACTGAAAGAAAGTGGCCCTTTTCCTAATACAAGTATAGTGTACACGTATTATTTTTATTAAAGATAGGAGATTATATATAAATACACTAAAAACTGCTTCAAACTAACTACAAACTGTATTTCTTTATTTAAATATATCTGAATCTTCTTGTTAAAATTTAAAGTACTTATTTCTGATACCAAAATAAAAACATGTATACTGGAAATAAGATGTGCTGTGATCCTAGGTGCCAAATTTAGAAAATCAAAAATGATTTTTTTATTAATAAGGAGAAAATAACTGCTTCAAGTAAATACAGCGGTACATCTATACAAAAAAGAAATATGTGTATAAATGTGACAAACCTTCATGTCAATAGGATCCCGTTCACAAAATGCTTGCACAATGGGGCTGATCAAGGATGGTTTTTGATCAAGAACATATTTTATTTCTGCTGGTATGTAACAATGTGCATGGTGGAAGGTATTTAAGGACTGTTCTGAAAGACTGCAATGATTAAAAAAAGGTTTTTTTTATTAAAATTATTTTAAGCAATTTAACAACTGATCCATGAGAAGTGCATGTTGTTCAATATGGCCATACAAGGCCGTGACCTGTAGAGATTTGATAGCCCAGGGTGTACCTGTTTAAAAACTAACAGGAATGATCAAATGGGGTTGAAAATCAAAATCTCTAGGGTTATAATAACCCAAACTGAATCTGAAGTAAACCCTCCTTGGTTTCTAGGAAATTTTAGATATTGGTATCTTTATGATGAGGAAATATACAACTTTACAAACTCAAGCCAATAAGGTTCCCAGAACTCTTTACTACCTCTCTGCTGTTGATCGTCCAAATATATGTCTGGTTTAAAGAACCCAGGCAGTATTTGAATTGTTAACGATAAAACTGTTAGTGATGGGTGTCAGTTAAGTAAGATAGCTTATAGGATGATACTCTGAGACTAACAAATTATCAAGAAATTATCCAAAACTGATTTTTCGGGCGAACAATCCTTTTTCAGTGTTCAGAAAACCTTTGCACTGCGCAGTTGTCGTTAGACATTAAATTGAAGTGTATGGGCCTGAAAAAAGTATCATGGGCAAGATGCATGTCACAGTTCAAAGGAAGCTGAAAGTGATTAAATTTTGAGACATTTATGAAACTTTTTGATGATATTTGTTACAATATCACCCTAGGATTTGAATTGGTCTGATAATCACTGACTGATGCAAACTTGAGTTGAAAATTTTCACTCATTTTTTGCCTTGTAGCTCTATCTGAATTAAGATCCCTCTAGTAAAAGACATTGGGATTTCACAACAACTGACTATACAAAATCAACTCAACCTTCATACCTGTTAATCCTCTGATTAATTGCGGTTTGAATTTTTGCAGCTGCTACAGTGTTATGAACACCAAATACTAATTGAAGAGCTTGGAAAACTGTGGGGGTACCAGTTGGGTAAATTGGTAATTCCCCAGGGGTAGAAGGGATAGGGATGATGTGAACTCTTCCATCATGAATAAAAACCTGAAACAAAACAAAAATCTCATTACAAAAATGAGTTTTATCATTTTCTAGTACATTTTAGCCAAGGTCATCTTGAAAGTAAACATTTTTTTCTGTCCCACAAACACGATATTCAATTGTAACAAGGACTGTTCAAATTCATAACTTAGGAATGTATAAATGACTGGGTTCTTGAAAAATTTCCAGTAAGCATAACAGTGTAACAGGTCAACAATTCCTTACATAAGATACTTTTTGGGCCTTGATATGTAGAGAAAGATTTCAGTTCTTACTACAATTTTTTTTGTTTTGCATCCTTATTTTCCTGAATGGAAGAAATTGAATAAGTTATTCAGGCACAGGTGAGATGATTTTTTTTAATAATTAAAACAAGTCCAGTGAATGGCAATAAAATTAATCACCAGTATCTGCCCTCAAAGTTTCAAACAGTTTTAAAGCAGGAGAAATATAATTTATGTTGTGCTCTCCACAAGGCTGAATACCATATTATATTTCATGAGGATATAAAGATACTTGATGAGACAAACAAGAAATCTTTTTTTTTTCAAATGTAGGAGGAGCCACAGTCTTTAATGATAACCTTGATGTTATTAAATTTTACATGTTTAACAGCCAACTTACTCTGTTTTTGTTGTTCTCTGGTTTAAGCCATCTTGGAAGGAAATGTGCAGCCTCAATCAACAGAAATTCCCCATCATTGTCAGATACACTGAAATTTGAAAATTACAAGAAAAGAATTTTAGTACAATCAAACCAAGGAAGATACATTATGAAAGATTATACTAGTAATTCAAAGAGTGATGATGTGCATTAACTAGTAGAGAAAGAGGGCCTACAGAGAGGAAGTATGTCAGAGCAGCTGAAATGATAGCCTGAGTAAACAGCTGACATTTTGTGACACCACCACTGGTTTTCCCGTGAAATGATGTTTGAGAAAGAAGTGCAGATATTCCATACTGATGCCAACCAGAATTGGGTAGTAATTGTGATTGGCCAAAGCAAATTTTCCATGTGTCACGACCAATCAGAAGCACTAGCCAGATCTGGATCTGGGTAAGCGTCATCAGTATGAAACTTTGATGCTTAAGGCTACTGAAAAGATGGACTTCCAACTGTTAACATGCAGGTGTGACTCGATACACTGTATCTCAAACCGTATACCTAATCAAATAACTTAAAATACAGCCACACCTGCACCTGTAATTAAACTCCAGTGAACACAATAATTGTAAGACTCCAAGTTCAAGTCCTATCCTAACTCAACAGGTTTGTTCTCTGGGTGTATTTGTTCTTGTAAGTAGCTAATGAGTTTGCCTCCTGGCAATTGGTGTTCTTATTAAACCTTGCTATGTTTCATTTGAGCTATAAATACCACTAAGAGTACAATTATCTCACCTAATGCATGTCTCAGGAAAAACTTTTGACAATTGAAGGAGGAGAGAAACTATAAACCATTCGTTGTCAACATTGTCACCAAACTCTGTCTTCCCATAAAGATGAGCAGGGACTTCATCTCCTGAGAACAAGAAAAGATCAAAAAACAAAGTTTGAATGTGTCACTGGTTTGTCCCCCCAGGGGGCGGGGGAGGGGGGGGGGTACTTAGCCAGTATTTGGGTATACATGAGCAGATGGAAGGTTGAAACCCTGACCCTGTTTAGGACAGAAAAATCATAACACAGATACCTTTCCTCAGCTTAACCACCCTGTTCAGGACAAAAGCATCAAGCAAATCAAATCAATCATACATACACAGGTAATACCTTGTTATTAAGACAGACACGCACAAAATTATATTCCCTGTTTGGGACAGAGAGAACAACAGCCATACCCAGGGTTGTCAAAAAGATTTTAACTAGCAGGAGAATAAGAGAAAGTAGCTGGCATGTGTTTCCCGGCGGGGCTGGTAGGGGAAGACATACCACTATTGATACTGATCAACAGTTCAATCCAGGTTAGTAGCTGCTGTCAAACATGATAGCATCAATACTGTGTCTGAATTACTAAGTGAAACTTTGGTGGAAACATGCAAAGAAGCCGAATGGACTAAAGCGAGAGACAGAAAGATAAATGCAAACCACAAAAAAAATGGTTAAATCAGAAATGCGAAACAGAAACTACTAGGGATACACGTTTCCCAGGTAGGGGAACACATATCACTAGGAATATGTGTTTCCCAGGTGAGGGAACACATATCACTGGGGATATGTGTTTCCCAGGTAGGGGAACACATATCACTAGGGATACGTGTTTCCCAGGTGGAAGAACACATATCACAAGGGATACATGTTTCCCAGGTGGGGGAACACATAGCACTAGGGATATGTGTTTCCCAGGTGGGGGAACACATAGCACAAGGGATATGTGTTTCCCAGGTGGGGGAACACATAGCACTAGGAATATGTGTTTCCCAGGTGGGGGAACACATAGCACTAGGGATATGTGTTTTCCAGGTGGGGGAACACATATCGCTACAGATATGTGTTTTTCAGGTTGGGGAACACATATCACTAGGAATATGTGTTTCCCAGGTGGGGGAACACATATCACTAGGGTTATGTGTATCCCAGGTGGGGGAACACATATCACTAGGGATACATGTTTCCCAGGTAGGGGAACACATATCACTGGGGATATGTGTTACCCAGGTGGGGGAACACATATCACTTGGGATACATGTTTCCCAGGTAGGGGAACACATATCACTAGGGATATGTCTTTTCCAGGTAGGGCAACACATATCACTAGGGATACCTGCTTCCTAGGTGGAAGAACACATATCACTAGGGATACATGTTTCCCAGGTAGGGGAACACATATCACTAGGGATATGTGTTTCTCAGGTTGGGGAACACATATCACTAGGAATATGTGTTTCCCAGGTGGGGGAACACATATCACTAGGGATATGTGCTTCCTAGGTGGGGAAACACATAGCACTAGGGATATGTGTTTCCCAGGTGGGGGAACACATATCACTAAGGATAAGTGTTTCCCAGGTGGGGAACACATATCGCTAGGGATATGTGTTTCCTAGGTGGGGAAACACATATCGCTCAGAATATGTGTTTCCCAGGTAGGGGAACACATATCGCTAGGGATATGTGTTTCCCAGGTAGGGGAACACATATTGCTAGGGATATGTGTTTCCCAGGTAGGGGAACACATATTCTTAGGTATCACTAGGGATATGTGTTTCTAAGGTAGGGGAACACATATTAATAGAGATATGTGTTTCCCAGGTTACAGGTGGTAAAAAGCTAAAAGTAGCCGGTAATAGCGCCGGTTGCGGGCGCATTTTGACAACCCTGCATACCCTGTAAAGGGACACATCCATGTATAGGCCATATAGGGGAGTACACTCATCCCCCTCCCTCTGCCGGGATTGTTGTTGTCTAGTGGTTTTGCCTTTATTAGTCTTGAGTTTTCCTGATTTCATATACTTTTACCCCTTTAAATCAACACTAACCAATGACATCTGAATCAGGCACCTCTCAGCATATACAGAGAACGTCCCCATTGTGGCAGTTTAGAGTGGCACTTATTCCAGCTGCATTTGATGTCAAAAACCTTAATTTTTATTTTATTCTAGTTCATTTTTTTATACAATCGCTGTAAAAGCTTAGCTGCAGAATATCTGGCAACTCCTGACCCGTTTAAATAGGTTTGTCAGGCTTATGCATTGGTGTGCTTTGAAAATTATAGATAACACACATTGTTATATTATAGTCAGCTCAGTGGCCAGGTATTTTGCGGATTTAGCCGACACAATTTACCTTTCCCAGACTTGGCGTGAAGGAAGAACGGCTCGTTTTGCCAGATGAACTCTTCAACTATAGGACTCAAAAAGGCAAGGTAGTTAGCCAGATATGTTTCCAAGTTGCTTCCAGTGGCAAAATTGTCCCCATCTTTCACAAAAATTCTGTATTTTACGACGTTTGCCATCACATGGGCAACGTAGCAAAAACATCGACTTGGGCCACCATGTTGTTTCAGCGGAAAATGACGTGGGCTCACCTAGTGCCCAGTTTCTTGGGTAACAGTTTCCCACACATTTCCTGCACATTGCTGATCCGGCCGGAAAATAAGGGGAATACCCTCAAGATGACCAGCCCGAGAAAGCAGCCGACATTTCACGACGCCACCGATAGTGTTTATCGGGGCGGGGGAGATGCAAAAGGCAGAGATTTTCCAGATTTTAGATCTTTAAAGAGGCTTGCATCCCTTTGCATAGGTGCCAACCATCCAATTCTGTTAAAATATATATCCAGCAAAAAGACTTGGGATGAATATTAAAAGAAAGAATATGGCCACAGTGGTAGGCTCTGGAAAAAATTCTTGCCTAAGTACGTGAGATAACCTCCGTCCCCACCTTCAAAAGTCATATGGCCGAGGATGGACCCCAAGTCATGTGTTAGGTTTTCTATTACTTGAGGACAGCTAAAACCCACCTCGTTCCGAGGTTCTCCTGGGCTAAAACTTTCTAGATGACCTTAGACTGCGACCAAGCTCTCCGGGGCGCTCTAGCGACGGGGCGGTAAAGGAGAGCCTGTGGTACTTTGTCGACTAAGCTGTCAGATTTCCGGCAATCAGCGCGAAGCGGAAACGAGCGTGAATGTAAACAAACATTGAAAAACACGTGAAAGATGGAACTGTCATCTCCGCCAATCAGTATTTCACATCGACTTTTTCGATACAGATTCCAGAGACGTAGTTGCAAGGTCTCCTTCTTTTTTCCTCCCCGCCGCCAGAGCGGTCCGGAGAGCTTGCTCGCAGGCTAAGATAACCTTTCCAATCACGTACATTTTTCGAAGCTTATAAATTCCCTATGATTTCCGTCGTTGGGTGCCCCTGATAAGACGAACTGCTTGTGTACGTGACCTTGTGAAAAACATAAATCAGTTTTGATACCAGCTAATCTCTGAGGATGGACGTCAACTTAAAATAGCTCCGATTAAATGCTGAAAATAGACGTTTATCAGTGCCAACATAAACTTCTTGTAGTTCATAATTTATGCCTTATGACGTGTGTGTTTAATGTTTATAGTTATGTAATGTTTGGTTCGAGTGGGAAAGAGAAAAAGTCACATGGTGTCTCGACATAATGAGCGAGACAAAGCAGCTAACGTAAAAGCCCATCATTAAGTGACAAATGCTCAATGACCTTTTATGACCTGGCGAAAGTTGTGTGAAGTGATTCGATTTGTTTTGATCCTTTGTCTTCTTTTTAAATGTTCTAATCCCTTCAGCCTGAATTTATGACTCATAGGCCAGCAACACGGATGTTGTAAGTCCCTCGTTCTTTTGGAGGATAATAATCAATCGATCGTGTGTGTTCAAGTCAAAAGAAGTTAAATGGGCGACATTTTTATGATACTTCCTCATGAGATCCCCAGCGCGACGGTTTACATAGGACGCTGGAACGATATAATGGCATGGAAGATGGGATGAAACCCCCTTTAGTGCTCTATACGAGGACACAAAAAAAAGCAAACATTGGTTCTACAACGTAACTTTACCAGACTTTAATAGGTCAATTATACAAAATTCCGCTAATAGCCTGGTTAAAACCTAGGAAAACTGGGTACGAGATTGTCCAAATTAGCCTGCAATCATGCCCTCTCTCTCTATATATGTCTGATTTCTTTATCTTCAAAAGAGCACATCAATTAAACAAAAATGATTCGTAGGTCTAGTGTTGATCGGGCCAATATTGAACAAGATACAGCTATTCAAAACTTGAAAATTGACTAAGAGATATTATGACCTCGCACGGGATTTCCGGACACTTTTGAATACTGTATCTCGTTCAATATTGAGCTGATAAACGGCATCAAACTTCAAATTTTGTAAACGTTGTTGTGCTCTCTCTGATTACAGTAAACTTCTGCTTATAAGCTATGGACTGATACAACTTTGTAAGGGGTTTAAGGGGGCTTACATCTGTGGGTCTTATATGTATATCTGGACTAAAACTAAAGCGTTTCAAAACAACTGACATAGCAGTGCTGATCAAAATATATTTTGAATTTACTCGCTTTTTTAAGCTTCAAAACGTCTTAAAATGGAATTCAAAAAATAAAATCCATTTCAATACAAAATTGAGGGAGGCTTAAAACCAAACGTATTTTTTTTGTTGTTGTTTACAGGTGAATGGGTCTATAACTGCGATGGGGTGCGGCAGGAATAGGGGGCTTAGAAGCAGCCGTTTACGCTACGTGGTCTTGAGTTGATAATTCCATATGAAATAAACGGTCTTTTATCCAGTTTCCTCTGTTTAAGACCAGACAATATTGTTGATCTTGAGCAGTCGACGTTACAGTGTTTATCAATGTTCATCGTGGAGGAGTAGAAACAGTGCGCTTTCCCACGCGGAAATAGTGAGAATCATGACTACAAACACTGCACAAGGAACTGTTTTAAGATTGGCCGTTCTCGTTACCCGATCACTGAACGTGCTGCGACATGAAACACTTTGCACAAGAAGATTCGATCAGACAGGTTAGCGTTAATTCTTTGTAAATATTTTCTTATATTAAGTAGTTAGTTTGGTGGTATTTTAGTTAGTGCACCCTATTAGGGGGCCTTACCAGGCCAGCTAGAAGACCAGACTCTTTTGAATAAAGTTCATCATCATCATCGTTCTTTACGAAACGTCCTATATCGCTTGAACGATAACTCTCACTAACTGCTCAACGATATCTACTTGTTAGTCAGCCTGTTGCAGGCGTTCAGATCGTACAGCGTGGGCGAAAAATTGACGAGGACACAAAAAAACGATGAAAGACTAGAGAGGGAAAAGTCTCACCCGGTTTTCCGCGCGTACGATTTAACTCGCTCCCCACCATCTGAGCACCGCGCTCTACTATCTGAACGCACGGAACAGGCTCCTGGTTAGTCAATATTATATCTACTCTTAAGGCAAACTATGGCTCCCGTTGTATCACCATGTGCTTCCGATTACTCTTCCAACTTAATTTAGTGCGGAGTCCAAGCCCACCGAAACAGATTTTCGGAAGTGAGAAGACTCTACTTGTCAGATCACTATTTAGTGGGGTGTTTCCCTATAAAATGATTCGGATCAGGATCCGTGATCCATAATCTTTTCTCGGATCAGGGTAAATCAAATAAACTGATGAATCCTTTACAAGGGTGGATTCGTCAGTTCCTTTGATGTGCGATGATCCGAGTGATCTCGGATCAGTGGTTCTGATCATCCCAGCGGAACACACCCTTCTTTTCACGTTACCTCGCCTTAGCTTGCAGGTTCAATTCTCGATCCTTAGTTAACAGTCAAATGTACGGTCACATGTTAAATATTCACAAGAGTGTAGGATGTTACTTATCTGAAACTTGAACAATCACAAACGCGCCCGAATGGACGAAATAAGCAAGCGTATTTTTCCGGATTCTTACGGCCAACGCCCCTTTAAATCGAAAACCATGATGTTGCATTTGCCGAATTTAACGCTATCTGTGGTTTGAGTCATCGATCAGAAAGTGCTTGAACCGCATCAAACGGAAATATAGCGCGACTTTGTCTGGTGTCCCCTAGCACTGTCATGCTAGGACCCTTCATCGCTATCCACGTTTAGTTCTTCGTTTTCAGGCACCTTTGGAAGTGATGTCCTCCACGCATGACCGTGGAGAGAAAATCGTATTTCGGGACAAGACACTGATCGCGCGCGCATTTGAGGTTTGTCCACGCGCTGGACTTCAGGTGAGCCGGGAGGCTTTAATTTCCCATTTACCCCAATTTTTTGTAAATGCGCTGTGTAAGAGTGCATGCTGTCTTTAACAGTCGCAAATGGAAAACTTTTTCTCTTCGGTCTGGGAGATCTGACTCCATTTGTAGCCGAGGAAAGATTTCTGTGCTCTCTCAGCTTTCTTCTCAGATCCATGACATTTTCTAACAGTTCGTCTCGTTTCTTTTCGTGGTTTAACTGAAGCGATTCCCCCGCCAGTTGGTAAAGAAATGTCTCCACGTCTATGGATTAGAATAAGAATGCAGAAACTTCAGAAAAGTAAACGTTTTTCGCGGTATCCATTTTAACTGATCAGTTTCTACTCGCTCTTAGGGTTCTATAAACTATAGCTGTGTTGGTAATGAACCGATTACTGACCGGGGATTTCTTGCACAGACTCAGTGCCTGATTTAAGGTCATTTGATGTAATTTACGAGTAGTCTCTCTTTTTTCTTACTCCGTTTAGCGAAACGTGCGAGACACGAAAATGACCACGCGAAGAAGGCGCTGAAGGCGCGCGACGGGAGAGGCGAGTGCACTCCCCGCACAAAATCTGAAGAAAAGAGAGGCTGCTCGCAGTCTACATTTCATGAAGCCTTAACGCCTTTGCATATAGTTTATAAGTGGTTATTCCGTAAGATCTAAATTCCAGAGGAAATCACCTTATCCTTCAGATAAGGCAGTAATCTTCCCAAATATATAACCAGGAACCGTAATAAGGATAGAAGACCGTAACTAGATATCCTTTCCAGTAATGGGGTTGGTTGCATCGAAATAGCCAAATGTGTTATTTCTAGCAAAAATTGTGCCGCGCAAAGGATGAAAAAATGGCGTTAGAAATTACCTCCGTGATGACAAAAATATAATTTATGTACCTCCTATTGCCTCCTCTGAATTTGAGGCGAGACCCTGAGTATAACCTCCTTGACCATAACGCTAAATGTAAGGACTGTGAATGTGATTCTGCTTATGTTAAACACCTTAGTGACAGTGTTTATGACAAATCAAAGGCGGTGGTCGTTGAAGTGAGCACACGTGTGTTTAGCTGCTCAGCTGCAGAAAAGCACTTTTTTCCTGACTGCACTTTTGAGCAAGGAAAGATCATGAAAAAAAATAATGTAGAAGCATTAAGTTAACCGCTCCATATTTATTTGAAAATTGATGAATCTCTCCTGCTTTCTACTTTTTTTTTTTACCTTAATTTAAGGTGACTCGACCCAGTTTTTTTTGGGGGGGGTACCATCCTACTTTGAAGTTCTCTGGTATCCCCACCTTTACTTTTATCGTAAGTCTAACACATAGAATGGATAACATATAGATCAATCTACAATATAACATAAAATTTTTGGCGATCGGAGTAAATGTCACGTGGTTATAATGCCACGCCCCTTTGAGGTCTGAGTCGAAAATCTGCTGTTGCCGGCATTTTTTCGTGAAAATCTCTCGGCTACACATAGTGCGCATTAGTGCCTTGCGCTGAACAGAGTTTCACCAAAATCGCAAAGACCCAATTCGAGAAATTCAGCGGTTTCCAAATTTAGGTCATAATTTATGCGAAAATGATAAGCAAACTTTACACGGATTATATCTAATAAACTATGAGATTCATCTCTTTATTTTGGGCATCGTTATAACAGATGGGTCCTTGCAAGTCAGCAAAACGCTTTAGGGCCTTGTAAATGCGCGCGATTTCGAGCAAAGCAAACATATAGAAATTATAGTTTTCGCTATTTGTTGACGTTTGTCAGCGTTTAAGAGTCCTTCTCACGAAAAAAGCATTTTCTTAAAAATTCGTAGTTTTTTTTCCTTCAAATTTTTTCAGGGCCACAATTGATTAACTAACTACCCGGACTCTGAATTTCATGGTCATTGAAAAACTGTGACATTATCTTCTATAAGCCCAAACTTGAGTAAACATTGAAGATTTTTAGCGTTTTGGCTGAGTTTGTGCTTTGGGAGTTGTCTATTGTTTCTAGTCTGTCATTATACAGCATTCTTGTTCAGCACGCGTGCAATGACCGCGCTTGGCTGACTTCCGAATGCTCACCGAGATATAATAATTTTGGTACAGTGAGACAGGCCATCGCGTGATACATAGAGGTTTAAGTCACAATTTTTAATCAATTCTCGTGCTTCTTGTGCCTTTGCAAAAAAATCAAGAAGTGCTACACACTAAATCTACTTACTATTAAAAAAATATCATTTTTTCATAGGTTTAATGCAAGCCAATAATTAAACCAACTCGTGACGGGAATATCTCGGTGAGCATTCGGAAGTCAGCCAAGCGTGGTCATTGCACGCGTGCTGAACAAGAATGCTGTATAATGACAGACTAGAAACAATAGACAACTCCCAAAGCACAAACTCAGCCAAAACGCTAAAAATCTTCAATGTTTACTCAAGTTTGGGCTTATAGAAGATAATGTCACAGTTTTTCAATGACCATGAAATTCAGAGTCCGGGTAGTTAGTTAATCAATTGTGGCCCTGAAAAAATTTGAAGGAAAAAAAACTACGAATTTTTAAGAAAATGCTTTTTTCGTGAGAAGGACTCTTAAACGCTGACAAACGTCAACAAATAGCGAAAACTATAATTTCTATATGTTTGCTTTGCTCGAAATCGCGCGCATTTACAAGGCCCTAAAGCGTTTTGCTGACTTGCAAGGACCCATCTGTTATAACGATGCCCAAAATAAAGAGATGAATCTCATAGTTTATTAGATATAATCCGTGTAAAGTTTGCTTATCATTTTCGCATAAATTATGACCTAAATTTGGAAACCGCTGAATTTCTCGAATTGGGTCTTTGCGATTTTGGTGAAACTCTGTTCAGGGTAAGGCACTAATGCGCACTATGTGTAGCCGAGAGATTTTCACGAAAAAATACCGGCAACTGCAGATTTTCGACTCAGACCCCAAAGGGGCGTGGCATTATAACCACGTGACATTTACTCCGATCGCCAAAAACTTTATGTTATATTGTAGATTGATCTATATGTTATCCATTCTATGTGTTAGACTTACGATAAAAGTAAAGGTGGGGATACCAGAGAGCTTCAAAGTAGGATGGTACCCCCCAAAAAAAACTGGGTCGAGTCACCTTAATTGCAGTTATTTTCTTTTCGTATCATTCTTGTCCTGCCTAGACTAGCTCCAGCTATTTGCGGCGCCAGGACACTTGTAAAAATATTCCTTAGAAAATTTATAATAAAATCTTGAAGTCTTGAAGTCTTGAGGTCAAATTCAGTGACGAAGATATGTCGGAAATTCGGACGTGTGATGAATCATATCCCGTTCGGACGAAACCGACAAACAAGGAAAGTTCACAACAACAAATTAAATAATTATGACTAATTTTCCTCAAATGTATCTTTGAATGTATGATAAACACAGCTTCACCAGCTTCAAACAGCGTCTACCGCCAAAATTTCACGGAAATAATACTGTAAATATGATAATTTTCCTGGTTAAATTAATCCTTGGCAGCGTGGGGCAGTGGTCTAGGAGCCGACCTTCCGTGAAAATGGACCTGCTGTTGTATTTTTTTTTCGTTTTTTTTTTTCACCTTGGCTTGTTTCCCTTTATTCTTACAGCTGACTCATTACAGCTTCGCGAGGTTTTTACGATAAACGTATTTCTAGTAATATTAATATAACAATTAGCTTATTCTTCTACAGTACATGCATTGCCTCCCGAGATATGAAGCGGTTGGAAAGTTAAGAGAGCACGCAAATTAAGTCACTGACCGCCGCGCTCTACTATCTAAACGCCTGGAACAGGTTAGCCGCGCAAATTCGCCGGTTCCCGCGCGAGTTTGTGACGTTGAACGTTGTACATTTGTCATGGCTCCTTATTTTGTTTAATTCTAAACATAGCACATTTGGCTAGTTCGATAGAACCGCGTGGAACCCACGCTTGCGGTCTCCCACCGCGATTACGGCTCCTGATATAACATGCAAATGCTGCAAAAGTTAGCCTCCCACGAAGGTGTTTTAAACGGAGTCCTCTAAAAACTCCTGGGTGGGAGGCTTCTTGAAAGTCAGCAAAGCGTGAAAATCGTCGGCTTTAGAGTTCCGCTCTCCTCCGCACAGACTCCTGCTGGGTTACAGTTCTGTTTTCTTTGACTTACGCATCCGCAAAAAAAGAAAGCCCGGCCGTCTGTTTGCAATTGAGGGTACAAGAAAAAAGGGGTGTGTTTGTAAGGCGGGGGTTTACCTTCAGTTCTTAATAACAAAATATGGCTGTAAGTTCTACGTCAATGGAAAAGCAAGCAAAACATCAAAAGTTACTAAGCGCTTCTTCGCTATGGATCTGTTCATTGTGGAAATCTTTTATCATTAATATGTGGAAAGTTTGGGAAAAAAACATGTTGTTGCGAGATTTTAGTCAAGTCCACATGTGTTAACATTTTTCAATCGCCCATAAACTCCGGCACGTGCGAAATTGAACGCACGAATATTGTTATTGTTGACCTTTTGATTAAGTAGATTGCACTTCCATTGAACTGCACTGCGTAATGAGCGGTATCGCGCAAACGAAGGAGAAGGAGAGCAAAAATAGGCGGTCTAGAAGAAATTTATTTTCATACCTTGTGTAAAACTTTGTTTTGAAATAAAAACAAAACTGAGGTTTCTCAAAAGCAAACGAAATGTCAAGCTGTATTTACATGATAAAACTAACATGAAAACTACTTTCTTATTCAAATTGACCATTTGTATTCGTCATCATTTATGGTATTTACCTACAAAATGAAACTACAAACGATAGTGAATTCTAATCAGCTCCTTGATCAACGTTGAATACATAATGTTAGAGACTTCAGAGTCCAATTTTCCTTATAACTTGCAGGAAGGCAAAAGTTCTTGGTTTTATTACTGACTTCCTCGCAAAAGTAGACGCACGAGGAAAAAGAATTGGGGTGGCATTGTAATCGCAGTTTTTAGTCTCGAGTCAATAATATGGCACCAGGGGTTTGGCAATGATAAAATGTGTCTCCTTCCCTTGGATAAATTAAATGAATAATATGATTAAGGAAACAATGGATAAATGGAAAAGTACGATAAGAAAAAGGATATTTCCTGGAGCTACATAATTAAAATTTATGCAGAAAAAGCCAGGCAATTAGAAACCCAATTTTCACCGCGGAGAAAAGTGAAAGAAAAAAAGAACAGAGACTGATTTGCCACAAGAAACAACGAAACAAAATGTTCCCTGTCCTCGTGTCACACAAAAGAAACTAATTTGTATTCTCAAAAATAAACATCCGTTCCCAGAAGAGCGCTAACTGAAAAGGCGCGGAAATGTTCGGCACATGCGGAAAGCCGCTCTCATACGAGAAAAATAATTCTGTGATCGCATTATTGTTTATAGATAATCAAAAGCTATACAGAAAAAAAAGCAATTCATCTTAGGGTATATTGAAATGATTATTTGTGTTCCTCTTTTCTAGGGAAAATCACTTCATTTGTTGCTAATGGTCTTAATAAACGTTTCGAAAGGAAAACAGTACGAGAGTTCGTAACTGCTTAGATCACGCTATAAAATTTTTCATCTCGGCCGCTCAGAAACTTTTAGCCTGGGGTCTCTGTAATCAGCAAAATCCCAGGTTCCAATTAAAAAATAAAAGGAAAATTTATACAAACTATTTCGATATAAATTTTTCCACCTCCCGCCGTTTTATTGTCTCGGAAGTATCAATTTATTAAAATCCCTTAAGTCAGAACTCCACAATATCGCCTTTTCCGTTTTCTGTGCTCTTGTACGAAGAGATTAACTGTGAAGGGATTCACAGATCTGTTATTTTTGTATATATGTTTGTCCGTATTTCATACCAAAGAATTTTGTTAAAAGCTGTTCGAACAATTTTAAGTTTTTAAAATGGCCTTCTGTTGATTACTGAGTTTATACGATACATACTACGCGAAGAACTGCAAGATATTGCTCTCAATGGAAACATTATTGTGTATCTTGTCAACCGAAGGAACGGTTTAATCCTGATGAAACTTTAATATTTGATATGAACAGATCCATTGTTTACAAAAGTTTCACGCACGCAAATGGCGGACAGACGATTTTCGCGTTTAGAGACTCTGTCGTAGCCATTATCGCTCTATTTCGATGAAGAGCGGAAAATGCGAGTTTCAGAAAACTTCCAATATCTGTACAGTATTCATTTGGCAGACAGGTCACCTACCTCGGAGCGTTGAAAAAATTTCATCGTCTAATTCTTGTTCATCGCTGTCATCTGATGAGCGACTCATCATGTTCGACAAGTAAATTTCCCGCGAGTATCAGCTGAAATTGACAACTGGCCAAGACAGTTTGCTCTCCGTCGTCATCCCTCTTCAGTCGATCTTCTGGGACCTTGGGTAATCAGTTGTTCGATGAATATTCTTAAACTCTTATTTCCGCTCGACCAGTTCTTCGGTTGATTTAACTGTGGCAAAAGAAACCTCTGGCTCTTGACGGAGGTATAGTGGGCACTACCGCACGATTACGCAAAGCTTGGCCCTTTAAAAATACTCACAGTTTCAAAAGATCATAGAGACACTCCGACATACACGTCTAGATTCGACTAAAGCATCCGTGAGCGCCCACGGTTCCTTACAGATGATGAGCACTTGTAAAATTTCAACGGAGGCTCTCACGTTGCCTGTCAAAAATTGAAACGGAAAAACCAATTTAAATTGCAAAATATTTCACTGGCTGTCACGGTAGTTGATTTTAACACGTCACCCACTAAAATTATTTCGTACTTTCCTGAGTCCCCAGGAGGATATTTAATCCTAGAGTGCAAATAAAGGTCTGCCAACAGTAACACTGACAGTCAACATTAGCGATTTGTTTTACAAGTGGTTCTACTATCCAGCGATCCAAAAACACGAAAATCCGATCTTGTATTAATTACCAAAAGCAATTTTTAACAGTATCCATTTTTTTTTATTCTCGACGGGGAAAATAAGCAAACCCAACTTTTTTCTACAGACTCAAGCATCATGTATCAGACATCAGTATAAATAATTCAAAAGCCGGGCTTTTCTCTTGCGTGGTACAGAACGGAAATTACCTGTACTTGAAAATATCTCAAGAAGAATTTTTGTGATTTGTAAAGACAATTCAGCGCTGTTTTTTGATGAAACAATGCCTTTTATTGTGAACAATACTCCGGTGTTGAAGCGGCATAGGAAGGGTATTTCTGCAAATTTTGTTAATTGAGCGTGGGTGATATTTTTGTCATTTTTAGACAAGCTTTTGAGATAAGCAGACAAAAAAAACAGCCAAAAAAAAATAATGCGATAAAACAGAGGACTGTTTTGAGAGGGAGCCCAGTTGAATATAACACCGTCTGTTGAATAAAAAAATCTTTTACGCTTATGGTCTCTCGCTTTCTTCAAAGGACTGTTGCATATTTGCATATCAAAAGACAAAATTTGTTTCTATAGCAACCATCCAATACTCTTATTTCATGCGGGACAGTCAACTTGTACTGAGACAAAGAAAGAAATCAGGGACAATTTGCTCAGGTATCTGTGGCTTTGAGAAAACTGGTCACTTTATGAGTAGAAACGGAGTCTCGCCGCCACCCACACAGCCAAAATCTTGACCATTGCTCCCCCTTCCCCCTTGTCATTTCTCCGAGTTCAAAGTTATCGAACACTTCAGCAGATGATATTTATCCAACGAAGATAGAAAAACAAATTTCGCAGTGTTATGGGGGATTAGGTTTTTTCCATTTTCCCAAAGTCTTTAAGACTTTAAAAAATGTTATAAGAAAAAAGAGAGTAGGAGAAAGTCAGGGAAATTAGTTACTCATTTTAATAAGGGAAATTCAGCGAGAGCCTTTTCACTCACGTGACCATCAGCTATGCGAATTTCATTAATAAAGAAGGTAATTACATGACAAAAAGATTCACAAGATTAGTTTAGGACAGCAACATGGCTGCCTCTTCATTGTTTTGGGACACCAATATGGCAAACGTGACGTCATTGAAAACGCTTCATAGCAATTGCGAGATTTTTTATATTTTGTAACAAAGAGAAAGCTGTCTTACCTTTTTAGTGTCCAGTATAGTGGTCACGTGCACTTAGCCAGACTCGTACCCAGCCGAGTCGCTATTGATGTGTTTTTGGGGTGCGAGAAGATTTGGGTTGTCCAACCCCTCCCTTCCCAGCTCCCCCTTGTCCGTCACAGGGTTAACAGAGAAAAAACTCCGTTCCTGGCAAAGTCATTATAGAGAAGAAATCATATACTGACTCCAAAAAGGGCTAAAATGTGAAAAGCCAAGAGACTATTAGGGACTGGCTGTAGTCGCTGAATTATCTAGAAGCTTTCAGTGGTAAAACACCAAATTGCTGTGGCGAAAGAGTTTTTATTATTGTCATCCAACGTCTTCCAGGGTTAGAATGGCTTAAACGGTATACATGTTATTAAAAATTAGATATAAAGTATCCTTCGCTCAAAATATCCATAGTTTTAGAGTGTATGGTAAACTATGCTTCTTACAGTTTTTAGTGTAATTTTGGACATGTCCAGGGAGACCTGGAAGAATCCCGGTACGTTTTTTGGCAGATAAGCAGTATGAGCAGTATTAGATAAAGACAAACTCGATTTGGTCTTAACAGCGTTTATTCCTCTCAAGATTGCAATCGACCGAAGATACACTAGAGATATAAAGACCTCAAGTTAGCCCCTTTTATTTAATTGCAAGGCGTATTCAAGATGTAACTGAAAGATATTCTATTGTACGAGGAATGAATCATTGTTAAGAAGCTGTAAGTTATTTTTGTAAACTATTTTAAATCAAAATTTGCACGATATAAGATACTGACGAACAAAAATATACAGGTTATCCTATTTCGTCAGGCGCGGATCTAGGACAAACACTGACCGATTTCCTAAACGAGTGCCGAAGGCGCAAGATTCTAGGGGGGAAGGGTTGGGGGAATGCGCCCCCTTGAAATTTTTTAGATTTTAACTACCTGAAGTGCCCTTTCTTGGGTTTCCGAGTCATTCAGACAGGATATCGGCCACTTACATTCACCTTGAACGAAGCCTTGCCACTTAGAAAGTTTTTTATTCATCAAAAATATATCTATTATGAAAAATCTGACCGATTTCCGTAAAACGGTGGAAAACCGGTGTGGATCCGCGCCTGCTCGTAATCTTTCCTGTTCATAAAGGAGATTAAGATAAATAGTGTCGCCAAGGTTTTGCAAGTTCTAAGGGCAAACGTTTGTCTCTTTGCTTACAGACAATCTTTGTTCAGCCATCGACAGCTCATAGACAACCACTACTGTGGAGGCAAAATCTCGGCTCTGTGTGTAGCCTACAAAACAAGTCTAGCTACGGCTTCGCCCGGCCTGGATGAGACCGAAAGAGTAGTTCTTTTTAGCATGAAACAGCGCAGTATGTCTTAAACCGCAAAGTCACTGTGTCCCTTTTTGGCCACTGAAAAGATCTACATCTTCAAAAAAAGCACTTTCTCTACTTTGCAAGTCAAGTGCATGTACAAAAATATACTGTAATCTTTACTCTAATCAAAAAAATCAATACCTCGTAAATCGGATAAAATACAGTCAAAACTCTATTAAATGGCCTCCCTTGGAGAACAAAGTGGTGATCTGATCGAATTAGGTTACTTAAATCACTTAGAGAGAAATTTAGTTCTCAGTTCGACTGAACCGTTCCGCCTTTGGTGTCTACTATGCAATGTAAGAAATATAGTTAAACAAAGGTTACTGTTGTCCAGAAAACTTGTATTTCTGGTAATCAAAGCGAAGCAGATCATCTTCGATTAAACACGATATATGAATAGTTATAATAATAATACAATCGGGTAATACTTATTTTTATACTAATACTAATTCTACTATTACTAATAATAATGATTCAATTTTTAACGGAAAAACAAAAGAAGCTTAACTAAAAAAGAGTTCATAGCAATGTAGATAAAACAATTTGAAGCCTAGACGCTAAATTAAAAAAGCAATTTACGAACACCATACATACTTCAAGTCTTCAAGGTAATAGAGAGATTGAGCGTCGCGTTTAAGGCAAACAGCAAACGTGAATTTGTACCACGTGATCAAGTTTTCCAGTCTTTCACTATTCATTATATCGAATTATAACTAGACGAAAATCGGTACATTCACGCCAATTCTATCAAGAATTTTTTTAAGCTGTTTTTATCTGCTCATTTCTCATCTTGAAAATTTATCACCTTGAATCTCACGTTTGCCGTTTGCAGTAAACACGACTTAATCTCTCTAATGTAAATTACACGTAAAACTCGTCTTCGATAGAACTACCACTGTGGTTTGTGGCTAAGAACAACCTAAAAAACTTTCTACGAGCATGCAAGAGGTATTTATTACTTCAGAAACTGTTCTCAGTCACAAACGAAGTTTGAAAAAGTAGTCAACAAACCACTTCCACAACGCCGGACATCACTCACACCGTGCATGTTCTTCTTCTGAGTCCAAGTAAACAACACACTGACTGGGCCCCCCTCTTCACTACTAGTACCCAGCAGCACCCAACAAAGATTTTAGGCAGTGATACAATAATCGAATCAGTTGAGACAGTGCTGCAAAAACAAGTAGAAGGCACACTGCGGCTGGCAAAAATCCAAGAATGATTATCTCGATCCACTGCAGAAAGTGGAATAGGTTTTGGGTAGCTTCTGCAGGATCTATTCCCTCGGAGATGTAGGTGACTTTAGCTAAACTGAACGAACAAATAATGGTCAGGCTCATTAACGAGATGCCCTCACAGACGTTGACTTTATTGTCTTTGAATGGTTTCGTTGTAAGGTGATGGACAAAAATCAAGAGACATACGCAATTAAGGCAAACGAAGCGTATGATGGGGTCAGTAGTAAACGTGTGGATAGTCAGCAGGATCAACCTTCGGCCAGTCAGTACGCTTTCCCAATACAGGGTGCTACGGCCACCATTGCAGGCTTCACGAAATGGACCGTACAGGGCTTGCTTGATTTCTTCTGCATCGTCTGCATCTTCACCGTTAAGCAATTGCTGGCTTTCTGTTCTTCGGTATCGGAGGAACAGCATATAAAAAAGGGAAGGCAAAGGGAATGCACAAGACAACAGAAATTCCTTGGCAGTCATTTTGTTCTTGGCAAGCATCAGTGATCCCCAGAAAAGAACCAACACCAGAGGGATGATAAAAGACACCATGAATGCGATTAACAAGTACTGCCACCACTGCCAACACTCGATGTTCCCATCTAAAAAAAGACGCCAATCCTTCTCAATAGGAACACAGTGCATCAACTTAAGGGTTGTATCTGTCAACCTCTCGTATCCAAGCAAAAGTGTTTCCAGGACAGCAGCGAGATATAGCGTAAGTGAAGGTGAGGAAATGAACCTGGTGTGACTGACAGCTCGATGGAAGGAATAAATAAAACCAATAGAAAGCAATGTGCCCAGGAATTTTGAACACATAAATAGTTCCTTGGTGACGACAGTGAGACCTGGGAATGGGCAACCAATACCACCATTCAATTTCTTAACCTGGAAATTAAAGATAGCCATAATTGGGGGAATAATTGGTACCATATGCAGAGTTTTCTCAGGAGATGTTATCATCATCAGCTCGGCTACTTGGTAAAAATAGAAGACAATTTTCAGATAACCAGAATCGTGGATTTTGTCCTCAGGTACCTGCAGTTGATTTTTAAACCAAAGAGTCTGCTTATACAATATCGATAAGACAGGAGGTTTGAATATAAAGTACAGTGCAAATACGATCACATAGATGGAAGTCACCACCCAAAACCAGTGATCGTTACAACTGTTTCTCTTTCTACATGAAGTTGAATAGAGTTCCTCGCTATACCCGTCAGAACATCTACCACATAGGACGCCCGTTCTGTTTCCATGACAAGCATTGTACTCGTGAGGGCTGAACTGGCTTGGACTGCTGCAGTATTCCAGAGGACAGGGAAAAAATTTCAATGTTGGAGGAATTGTCTCAGCTATTAATCCCCAGAAATTTGCTTTAGCCCGGACATTTCCATTTTCACAGGATGCTCCGTAAGGACACTTAAGGCACTTGGTTCCTTTGCTAAAATTCAAACCTTTTGGAATTCCTGTCTCCAGGAAATAAAACTTATCACTACACTCTTGGCAAAATAGTTTGATGTGATTGGCCTTCATCCAGCACGTCCAACTTCCCTCGGTCAACTCAAAACCTTCAATTTTTCTAATAAATTCGAGTTTGACTCGTCTTTCCGGCGGGCATTGTAACGAAGAAGTGCGATCAATTTGGAAGGAACTGCTCTTAGTAGCTGCCAGAACAGGATAAAGTTTTCTGTTTACCTTTGCGATGAAAGACGATTTTTTTATAATCACGGGACCAGCGCTATCAGAATACAGGAAACATCCATAACTCAGGACTTTTTCAGGTTGAATGGTGTTAGATATATGGTTTAAACGTGTTTGAAGAAAGGTGCTCTCTACGACACTAAGGCTGCCGTAACCCGTTTTCAGATAGACATGCCCTCCTAATGTCAAGCCTTCGTTGTTTCTGAACGTGCAGTTTCTCAAAGTGACGTTTCCATTAAGAAAATTCAGTGCTCCTGAGATACCGACGTTATTCTCGAATACGCATTTTTCAAATATCACCGGTGTTTGGAATGTGTTATTCCACAAGAATTCACTGCTGTTGTTCTCTTTGAAACATTTTGGAGGATCTTCGTCGGGAAATTCAACACCTACAGTTGCTCGGTGGTCCATTCGATACACAAACTGGGAATTGTTTATAAACCTGCAGTTCCTTATAGATATTAGTCCTTTTACATTCTTTTGCATAGCTACATAAAGTACGCCGTTGTGGATTCCTTGAAAGGTAACGTTGTACAGAATTACCCTCGCCTCAATGAAATGTTTTTGGAGTGACCTGCCTGTCACCTGCAATGAAAACCTGATTGCATCACCGATACCTCGCGTCTCGCTGCCTCCTTCAAAAAGAGTGTCATTAATAAACAGTGATTGGCTGCTTGGTGCACAAGTGAGTGCGTCTAGACAAGGCAGTATTGTCATTCGTATACCAACTCTATTGTTCCGCAGTAGACAACGATGTAAAGACACCTTTATATCAGAAACGTTAGGCGACAGGTTTGGAGGACCACTGGCTGCAAAAGCATAGCCATAAGTAGAGTCAATGGTCACCTGATTTAGTCGAACGTCAAATCCACCATACACAAATATGGAATTCTCGTTGTTCAGAAAAGTGGTATTCGATACTGACAACATCCCGGTGGTAAATAGGTTATTTACTTTAAAGGATAACGCGAAACCATTCAACTTATGAGCAAGCTCGCGAAAAATAGAATCGGTAACAAAGCACGAGACATGCACCATATTTCTCAAGGTGGGTGCCTTAATGTACACAGCGCCGGTACTATATCTGTCCTCTGAAGTTACTTTGAACCGACCAACCCTGTCCTGAAATACACTTCTCAAGATTTTAAGAGTGAAAATTCCATTTGACAAATTGGCAATGAGCGATTGGGTATTGTTCAGGAACTCAGTATCGGAGATAACAATTGAAGAATTGGTGCAGATTCCAGATTCTCCTTGTGCAACAACAACCGCCGCGGAACAGTTGATAATTTTACAGTTACTGATAGCAATATTGAAGCAGCTCACTTCGTTTAAAACGAATGCCTTGTTATGGAATACAAGGTTTGAGAACGTTATCCGCAAAAGTTGGTTTTTATCATGTTCAAAAACTAGACCATAACGTAGTTTGCAGGAAATATGGGCCTTTGCATGCCAACCCTGTATCGTCAGACTTATACCTATGCGTTTCAAAACAAGTTTCTTTTGACCAACCGTCTTTTCGCAGCTGTAAGGATTTGACTCACTGCCCCTTCCATCAAGGTAAACTTTTCCTCCAGCTTTGACTTTCAGNAAATCAAAAAGAACAAATATATACAACGTATAAAGTATATAATAACGAGAAAAAACAAAGAAGAGAGTGTGTGAGCGTTTGCTGTGGTGTTAAATAGAGAGAAAGAAAAAGGGGGAAAAAAGAAAAAGGAAGAGAAGAGAGGAGAGGGAGAGAGAGAGAGAGAGAGAGAGAGAGAGAGAGAGAGAGAGAGAGAGAGAGAGAGAGAGAGTATCAGAAAACATATTGATTCGTCACGTTTGGACGCAATGGATTAGGAAATATGTTAGAAGCACTGATGCAAGGACAAAGTTGATAGAGATGGAGCGAAACGTGAAAGGATAAGATCTGGTGCTCTATAGAGGCAAGTGTTTGAAGTTGAGTATAGAGAATTTATGGAAGCAAACTGGAACTCAAGTGACCGGTGTTGAAGCCGACTTCAAATTAAGGACGAGAACAAGTTGAACCGTAATGTCGAAGTCGCCCTCCTTGTTAATGCCAACATTCCCAGCTTTTTTAATATAACGCCATTGGACATTGAGTTTCCCGCCAAAAATCCGGCATGCAGCACCAGGTTATCCTGGATGGGCATTTCACATTAGTTTATACATATTAAGTATAGGGGACAGTTTACATGAAGTAGAGCGGACCGATGTTGATCATAGCCGTCATAATTAAATCTTCCAAGAAATAATGATTAATTAGATTTTCCTAAAAATGGGGGCTCCGCACTGGCGCACCTTAACAGTTGTAAAACAGTCATGAGTAAACGGTTCTGAGTCTGCAAGAATTAGGAAGTTTAGGTTTTTCGCAGAAAGTAGCCTGTGTGGCAGGCGTTTGAAAGGGAAGGGAAAGGGAGTTTTAGGCGTTCCATTCCCCTCCAAACGCCTGCCACGCAGGCTACCCAGAAAGCGGCAGGCTTAAAAACGCAATGGCGTTTACTGTAGGAGATTTTGGGAACCACAAGTGCACCAAAGACGAAATACGACGGACGTAAGAGCAAACGCGTTATTCTTGAATTTAAGGTAGCCTAGCAACAAGCAAGTCTTAAGAACGGCATTCAAGAAAGAAAAAGTTACATACCAGTGATTTCAAGTCCATTTTCACCCAAGGTTACATTTCTCTTCCCTTCTTGGAAATCGTCTCCTGTCGAAAACATGCAACAATAGAACCTATTTAACATCGATAAATCTAAATAGCACCGGAATGTATAATAAGATGTTTAACCATTAAAGGCCCTAATAGTCAAGAAGTAAAAAAAAATTGTACTTGTCTAAAATTTTCTTTTTGTCTTTTCTTTCCGGCTCCTACTTACGATGTCTATCATCTCAGCATTGCTTAGTTATTCTGCGCACGTCCACTGAAACATCTGTCATTTCTAGTACCTGGGTAAACTTGTTCAGCATAAATCAAAGTGCAAGGAATAAACGCGTTTTTCTTAAACTTGTGATAGCTAAGCAACATTTAAGTATTAAGATTCGGATTCTATAAAATCGAGAATAAGGTTACTAACCATTTTCAAGGCTATTTTCCGCATCCAAGGTTACATTCCATTCCCCTTCTTGGAAATCATCTCCTGTCAAAAACGTATAACAATGGAACTGAAATGAAACTGGGGAAAAGCTGCACTGGAAGGGCAAGTACCTGGGAAAAGATCGCGACGTAGGCCAAGAAGGAGATAGGGAGATTGCATCAAAGACTGATGCTGTTAACGCGTGAGTTAACAAGCGAAAAATATAAATGTCGTACCTGATAATTCCTTTCCTATTCATCCCTTAAGAAATAACAGTCTAATTGCCTTAAACTCGGTCCAAGTAAAGAACCTTGTGGGACACCACAATTAATAGAAAGATAGTCTGATAGAGTGCCATATACGTAAGTACTCTGAAAGCGATCTGATAGGTATGATTTGAACCACTGAACTGCATGCGGTTCGCGACCATAAAGTTGCAGGTTTTTCGACAATATGCCTAGTGTGGTCAAACGTATCAAAGGATTTCTTAAGATCTAGAAAGAGTAAACTGTTAATTAGGCCATCAGCAATATTTAAGTACCAGTTGTTAGTAGCTTCAAACTTTTAAGTTTCGTTGTTAGCCAGGGAGCATGATAATTTCTTACTTTCCTTTTACGCTTTGGTGCATGGAAGTCACATTTCCCAGGCACGATTTGGATTTCCTTCCAAATGAACTAGGTGCCAGGGTGCTAAGCTAAGGTCAGCGTGGAATGAATTAGTATCAAAAATTTTAAATTGTCGCGACTTCACAATCTTTGGTTTCCTTTTGGGAGTACAAAATTTTGTAACTCCATAGATAATAAATGTTTTTCAACGCAACCACGTGTAGTTAAAAAGCTGTTTCATTACGGTTCGTAGCACTCTTTTCACATTTGTGTCAACCTTTTGTTCTAATTACTCAGTCCTTTAATAGAGGTTACGTAACTACATTTGATATACGCTATGAATATTTGTTTCTGTAAATATCGATGTAGAAGCATTTTTGGCTATCTCGCCTTTTGGACAGCCGTTGTCTTGTCGGTGACCAAACTTATTATAAGTTCCTAGATTAGTCTAAAGCTCTAATCCTCAGAGCTCGATACACTGCATTCGATCGACGAGTACGTTCCCGGTTTATTTTGTCCCAATGGGTTTTTTACCGGTTTGTCGCGTTCCAGATTATTTAAATGTTTGTTTGTGTAGAAATTATATTATTTCTGTATTTTTTTGATATTACTTCTAAGATCATTTGTATTGTTGAACTGTATTGCTAAGATATCTTGTCAATAAAGCACGCGCTGGTCCATTGTGTCCATTAGGCTCCCAGCAAGAGTCACACTCCATAGTTTTCATTTGTGCTTTGCGCGCTGTGCGGATGGCAGTAATGAAGAGAATGGTCACTAATTCCGATTTCAGTGACAAACCCAAGAATGCGCATAATTTTCCTTGTTATTGGTTACGAATAAATCAATAGTAGGCGCTGATTTTTCAGTGATTCGAGTGTTCACATTAATAAGTTAGGGGTATTAGTTAAGGTTAAAAATTTCCAGAAGATTCTTCGCAAGGGATTCTAGTGGGAAGACAGCCACATAACAATTACCACCTCCCAAAATATTCACCTCTAGCCCCAGCGATTCGATTTGCTGTACGAGAAATTCAAACTCTCATGGTGGCGGTTGAAACCACAGTGAAACTTAGAACTCACTTTCACTGAACTCTGTTGAAGTGGCCAAGAGGCACTGGCAAAAACCGAGCAATTCTAAGGAAGGGCCGCAATGCATCATGCCACCAGCACGCAAAAATTTAAAAGAGTTACTGTACTTATTTTCCGCGTCACGGGAGAATTATGTATGCAGTGAAAACAGTTTTCTAAAGGTTATTGTGCTATTGAGGCTCATGAATATTCTACCTTCCTCAGGGCTATGTCGACTTATTTAGTACCAAATCCGAATAATTGTTTTTGATATTGTTTGAAACCGAGAAAAACAGAATGGCAAATAAAGGAAATTCAACTGCCTGAACCGAAACGACTCTCTTCCTTCCATGATATAACTGAAAAATTAGCCCATAAACCGTGACTAATTATCCTTTTCTGTATAAACTTTTGTAAAATTACAACCCGTTTCATTTTTTTTCTTTCTTTAATGGCAAAAAGTAACTGTAATATGGTGCTTAATCCCCGCCAAAAATCAACTTTGGTACTCAACATTCAACTTGAGCGGCTAACATTAAGTTGTAGCACCCAACTTCCCGTTTCAACATTCAAAGTTAACAATTCAACAATTCTGACAATTGTTAGTAGCTTCAACCTTTTTAGTTCCGGTGTTAGCCAGGGAGCATAATAATTTCTTAGATTCTGAAAAAAAGCTGAATGTTGGTTGCACAACTTACATGTTGTGTATTTTCGTAGAATGCTGTGCGCTCAATTTTCAAGAATGCGTGATCATGTCAGTCGTGTCAAATGTTGAGAGTTTAAGTTGAATTATTAACTTGGAATGTTCAAACGTGAAGTTGAAAGTTGGGTGGTACAACTTAATGTTAGCCGCTCAAGTTGAATGTTGAGTACTAAAGTTGATCACTTGGCGGGGATTGAACACAATAAAGTTCCATTTCACTCATAAGCACCTCTTACCCAAACAGGAACGTATTATGATCGACTGACATGTATCTTGCGGTAATACCGTGAAGACGGAAAAATAAAAGAAGTTTTGACAGAATTAGGGCTAGGGGACACTTGCTGTATATCATAAGAAGCATTCATGAATCTCATTAGCGTGACTTTTTCTGAACGTGATAATTGAATACCCCGGGCTCAATACGAAAAGAAAAGAAAAAGTAATTGAGCATCCAAATGTCCTTTAGAATGCTGATTGAAGGTACAAAAGGACCGCTATTTTCTCAAGTGATCTTTTCATTTAGTTACAACAGCGGAAAGGGTATTGAACATTGAAATGACGTTATCGTCAAGTGGGAAAAACATGTTGACCCACCTTTATTATGGTGAGACCTTCTAAGCCCAAAAAGCGGGTTTCCGGCTCTAGAAGTTCTTAAAAAATGTTAACGTGTCACCTTTCACAATAATATTGTTTTTTGTCAACAAGCTAACTTGATTATGTAAGTCATTTTCGATTTCACGTCAGCAAAATTGTTTAAATGAAGTAGATGAAAGAGAAGTCGAACGATAACTTGGTAACACTCGATGTTAATTAATCAGATCAATTACCTGTTAGCTAACATCACTAAAATTCATTTATCGACCAAACCAATTGTTTAACAAAAACAAGGCGATAATTTCGTTCAATTATAGCCACACGTGAGCCACAATACTCAAAGGCTCACTCCGTCAAATGAAGGTGAAAAGAGATTTTGTGCCACCTTAAGAAAACGTTTTAACAGGGTATTTCGACTATTTCACTTCATAGTTCTGGGAAGGACGGCCAAAACATGTCCAAAAAGTGTTAAGCGGTGCAGAGTTTCTTTTTTGCTCGTCAAACCTATTGGGACAGTAATTTAAACAGTTTAACAAAACAGCGTTTTGCGTGAGGCCAAGGTTTGATCAAGTGTATCACCTACTGTTGAGAACCAGAGGGAGAAATAGACCGTTCCTATATATTTTGTAGAGGTTCTCTTCTGTCATTTCTGATCCCCTCAAATTCCGTATGTCAATTTTTTTTAAGTCGCTTGCATCTGCCAGAAGCAAAAGTTCTTAATTTCTTTTTAATACATGAATTTAGGAAGATGCTGGAAATTTGTCACAGGATTAGGACGCAGTGAAAAGAGAACGTTTTAAACTATAACATGGTAAACCTCTTACCTGATTGGTCTATACTGAGTACAGGCAAAGCGCGGAGAAAAATCAGCAGCCATCCAAAAACCACAGGAGAATACATCTCGCTGAAACGTCGGATTGTGCCTCCTTTACTGATCATTCATTGATTTTATATTCCTTGTGCTTACGTCATTTTTATAATTTAAGGCTACATTACCTGTTTTCTTAAAATAATTAGAACCACCACAGTACCTCCCCGGTCAGATCAGACGTCTTTGATATATGCTTTGTGAGCTATTTTGGACGTGAATACAGTGCAAAACGTTCCTGAAGTGGCATTTCGTATCCGCACTGACCAATAAAAACATTCCATTATTTGTGCATGGTCCGGGAGCTTCTCCGACCGCAACTGCAGTACAGTTGTTTTCGTCTTTTATTTTTTCCAATTGTTATATTCAGTCTAAAAACCTATCTCGCAACCATTTTCAACACAACAAGCAAAAAATAGATTTATATTTTTTTCTCATCTTGTTATATCTTGTGGTCAGTATCAAAAGTGAAAATAGGTATTCCGAGAAAACTGACACTTGACTGCCCCATTTTCTTAGTATATTTCGTCACATTTCGCCCTTTTTGACTACTTATGGTACCTTCGTTAAGCCAAACATGTTATATTTTCAACAATCACAACTTTTTATGTACAATACACACTGTTTACTCTCGTGAAGCAAGCAACATAAGATCTTGCGAGAGAAGTCAACGGTTGTTTTGGTAGCACCACAAATTCAGTAGAAAAAAATGGACTGGATTGTGAGCAAAACAATGTTTAACGCGTGACTTGAATTAAAACTGCCGAGGAAGTTCAATTTAAGGTCGCGGTTACAAAACTCTAGTGTTTATGAAAACAAGGGATTATTTATAGAAAAAAAACGCATATAAAGCTAAACTAGGTTGTTTTCCTCGGTTTTTAGAGAGGGTTACATAACAAGTCTGGAGTTTTATGCAATTTTTTCCTATCCTTTCATTATTGTCTTGAAATTGTTGTCAAATATAACTTCCCACTGTCAGTGTATATCCCACTATACCTGGGCAGTATATACGTATTCATGACAGACGAGTATCACAACCCATGACAAAAATAGTGTTTTATGCTTGTAGTAGTAGCGCAAGCAAAATACTCAGGGATCCGAAGTGACCTCAACGATGTTTTTCAGGTGGTCTCAAAACGTAGTATAAAGTGGGCTGAACCTTGAGCAAAACAACTTTTACACGTTCTTCTAATTAAAACCGCCAAGACATTTAAATTCAAATCACGTATTACAAATTCACTAGACGTTTTCGAAAACAAACAGTAATTTGTTGAAAACCTAAAATAAAGTTGAAAAAAGCTAACAGACCTAAACAAAGATTTCGTTCTCGTGTATGGGAGGTTTTATAATATGAGTCAAACTAGTCAAAAACTTATAACTTCAGACGAAAAACATTAGCAAAAAAGAAGAAACTGTTAAAAAGCCTATGAACATACGATTTTCGCTTGTCAGTGGCTTGTCCCAGGCACTTATCACTTGCGACAAAGCTGTACCGTCCATACGGGCAGAAAGTGCTAACTAATCAAGTGCAACTTTCTCAGTTCGCCGGCTGTGATATAGAATGGCTCTTTGCCAGAGTTATAAACAAGTCGATGGAAAAATGATCAATTCATAAATCAATCAGCACGACTGTTGAAGCTTTAGAGCTGTTAACAAAAGTAAGCAAAGAAGTTTAAGTCACCTGGGTTTCGGTTAAGATAAAAAAAGAAATGAAAAGTTAATTGGTGTTCTGTTATCACTTATTGAATTTAAACCAAGGTCTCTTTTTGCCCTAAAGCAATTTTGTATTCGAATCAGTGTCGCAGTGAAAGGGCAGGTACATTGCAGGGACCGCGCAGCAAGTTTTCGAGTGGGGGGGCTAAAGAAGAATGCGTGAAGGGAATTTTTTTTTTTTTTGGTCCGGGGGGGGGGGGGGGCTGCTTGTAGTTTTTTTTTCAATTTCTTTAAAGTGGGGGGGAAGGCAAAAAAACAAAAAAATAAAAAACGGAAAAGAACACGTCGAAACTCCAGG